TAAAAAACAAAATGCCAAAAAAAACAGCCAACAAGCTGTCATACACATGCACAGCCATACACATACATTGCATACCCCCAATGACCCCCTATCTGAACCTTAAAAAAGCAGATCCTCCCATTACTCCTTGAAACCCTCACACACACTCACTGAGACACACTCTCTGACACACACTCACAGACACACACATTCACTAACAGACACACAGGCTCCCTCACACACACACACACACACAGACTCACTGACAGACAGACACACACACACACAGGCACGCAGACAGCCATACACACAGCCAGCCAGACACGCAGACAGTCAAACACACAGACAGCCATACACATATACACACAGACAGACACATACACACAGTCATACACACAGTCATACACTTATACACTTATACACACAGACAGCCAGACACATACACAGTCATACACATACACAGCCATACACCTATACACACACACACACAAAGCCATACATACAGACAGCCATTACGCGTTTCACCTTTAAGGTTTTCTCAAAATGGTAAAAAGGTCTTTTTTTTTTTTTTTTTTAACTACTGTATTATTTATTTTTTATTTTTATTTTATTTTATATTATACTTTTAATATTACATTTTCTACTACTGAAGTGTATCCCGTCCAAAGAAATCCTGAGGTGGGGATAATTCCACCAGTGCTGTGGCAATAGAGCAGTACCTGTCTGCTCTATTTTTGTAAGTATAATTTATTTTAACTTATTACTGTGTTGTTCAAACTGAGAGCACTATCTGCTGTTTTATATATCTCGTGGACATCCACTATCCAATACCGGAGAGGCGGACTTATCTCCCCAGCATAAAGAATACGCACATCCGAGTAAGTCCTAACCTACATTAAAGAAATCTCAAGCCGGACGGATGGACCAACCATTTAAGTATATCCAATAGTGGGGATTAAACCACTAAGTGCCTCTTCTCCTAGTGCTGGCTAAAAGCTCCAACAAATGACGGAGCGACACTTGAGGACTTATAGTATATTACTACATACCAGTGAGACTGTTTTAATTTATATGTTTTTTTATTCATGTATGTGTGTGTGTCTGTTAGTTTATGTCTGTTATTGTATTTACGTCTGTTAGTGTATGCACGTGTGTGTGTATGAGTGTATGTGCTTCTGTTAGTGTATGTTTGTGAGTGTCTGTCAAATCAGTGAGAGTCTGTTTATCATTTAGTGTGTGTGTTTGTGTGTATCTCTCTGTCAGTGAATGTGTGAGTGTCAAATCAGTGACATCTGTGTGTTTGTCATTGAGTGTGTGTGTTTGAAGTGGTCTGGGTGCAGTGTCCCAGTTCTCTTAAACATGCAAGTGTAATTATTGCAGTTTCTCAGAAACTGCAATAATTACCTTGAGGGGTAACGCCACCTCTAGTGGCTGTCTACTAGACAGCCACTAGAGGGACTTTCAGGTGGTTAAGTGACCAAAAGTTGCCTATCTGATGCTGGACATCCTCACCCTGTGCATGAGGACATCCAGCATCTGCTAAATACCCATAGGATTTTAACCCCTTCAGTGTCGAGTGGGGGAGGGGAGGACACGAGGGAGGGGGGCACTATAGAGTATTTATTTAACAGGAGCAGGAAAAGGTGGATCCTAAAGAAGAAGGGGTAGGTTCTTAATCAGGAAGCGGTGCGCCCTTGACAGGAAGGGGTGGTAAATTTAGATTAGGGGTGTGCTCAGGTATAGTCATGCCAAGGGCAGCACAGAATTAAAATATACCACTGTGTGAGTGTCTGAGTATGTGTGTGCGTCTGTGAGTGTCTGAGTGTATGTATATGTCTGAGTGTGTGTGTGCATGCGTTTATATATGCATACGAGTGTTCTGTGGGGGGTTTGGGGGGATCTTGGGTGAGTTCCCACACTTTTTCCCCAGGACTTGACCCCTGCATACACCTAAACTTCTGGAATAAAAGGGAATCATGACATGTCACACAGGTCATGTGCCCTTAATGGGTTAAAAGTAGAGTTAACTCTGAGCTGGACAATACTCCCCTAATAGTACTCGTTTATGAGGGGGAGCTATCTTCTTGTCCATTTAAACTTTTTTTCCAGTAAAAGAATCACTTTCAGGATAAGTCAATTTGAAAATGGAAACATGGATCCACAATTTGAACAGCAGAAGTTTGCGGGGCCCCTTTCATGTGAGATGTAACAAGCGCTTTTCTTGCAAAGTGTTATATTATTAAATAATCTCCAGGAGTGAGATCATGCAATGTATTCTTGTCGGCTGATCAGCATTTTAATCATTTAAAAAGAAAAACACTAAAGGCTTGCGTTAATGACATGCAAATATTCTTTACTCTAATATTTAGACTCATCCACAATGGACATTAACACATAACACACCAATTCATTACAAACCATGGAACTCATACCCAGCAATTATTGTAATATCACACATGTCATCTTACAAAACAGAACACAACAGACGTAGCAGATACACATAATAGACACCCAGAACACGTGCCAATACAAAAAGCATATTCATGGACAGGCAACTAAACCATGACCAATCCAAAATAAGTAAATAAATGCCACACTCTGTGTCCCCCAGATGAAACACAGTTAGACATAATGTAGGTTCCTATGCTTGTGATAGATTACAAATGCAGTCTTAAAGGACCACTATAGTGCCAGGAAAACATACTCGTTTTCCTGGCACTATAGTGCCCTGAGGGTGCCCCCACCCTCAGGGTCCCCCTCCTGCCCGGCTCTGGGGAGAGGAAAGGGGTAAAAACGTACCTTTTTTCCAGCACCCGGGCGGGGAGCTCTCCTCCTCCGTTCCTCCCATTCGGCTGAATGCGCACGCGCGGCAAGAGCTGCGCGCGCATTCAGCCGGTCGCATAGGAAAGCATTTACAATGCTTTCCTATGGACCCTTGCGTGCTCAAGGATTAACCCATTTATAAACATAGCAGTTTCTCTGAAACTGCTATGTTTATAAAAAAAATGGGGTAATCCTAGCTGGACCTGGCACCCAGACCACTTCATTAAGCTGAAGTGGTCTGGGTGCCTAGAGTGGTCCTTTAAACTAACACCTCCAAAACTCCATTCTCATACCTATGTATAAGAAGCCTTTAAAAAATTAATGAAAATTTCTGCAAACTATTTGACTTCTACAAAAGCAGACAATCAGCATTAAAAATAGTTCAGAAAACTTTACAAATGAACAGGCAACAATTAGTTATATTGTACATCAGACAGAGCCTCTCAGAGCAGTTAAAACTACTCCAACTCCCACTGCTCTTGGACAAAATGCTAGTATTCAACAGCCAATAAATCAGTCATTTAATAGATTATTATGCTGCCATTTCTTTTTTTTTTTTATTCTTTATTTTTGTCATGCATGTATCAACAACAATTACACAGAGCCACATCAGCGTCTGTGTGCATCTTACAGCATTTAACAATATCACAGGTTAATACAGCACATTTTTAAGGTTAAAGAGTAAAAATAAGGCATAAAAATAAAAAAAATAAAAAAAAACAAACAATTCTGTTAGTAAACAGTGAGGTGGATGATACGCAAAACTCTATACACATTCGATTTCAAATTCCGTTTTAATAAGCAATGGCAGTCTTGCTACTTACATTGCTTATTGATATAAAAAGAGACACATTAACTGTAAGAGATGCCCAGAAAATATCAGGGAATTGATGAAAATAACGAGTCAGTACAGTCATAGTGCCTGGCCTTATCGCGTGTAATGATATAGACTGCATGTGTCCATCCCTGACATATGCCCAATGAGTCCGCTATCTAAAGTTAGGTGTTGAAGAGTGCGACTGTCATGGCAGCTATACCATGATCCCATTCTACGTAAAAGCCCAACTCGCTCACAGACTACATTGTTCATCCAACCGTATCTTCGTATTAAAGAGAGGTGAAAAAAGAAAACGCCACCTCCCATGGAGAAACCAGAGGGAGGGGTATGCTGCCATTTCTATCTGTATCAATAGACTGAGACAAACTGATTCAAATATAATGTAAAATAACACAGTAAAATACCAATTAATCTACTCGCTAATTAAGCTGCACACTTCAAAATGGGTATCCAAAACACACATTATCACAGTCCACCATTTACACAGAATACACTTTTAACAGCTGTATTCAGAACATATTATTGTAAGGTATACCAATTTTAGTTTGTATCAGATTTATTTAAGGGTTTCTTATGTATTCATGTATTTCCTTAATTAACTTATTACTTAATCTACTATAGCATTGTTTATAAAGAAGGGATCCCTTTATATAGCGGGTTCTTGACTTACATATTTGTATGAAACTTGCATTAACTAATTGCAACATATGTACCCTGTCAATAGAATGTCTCTCTTAGATGATTCTACATCATCCTAAATCTTTTAGAAATTGACCAGATTACACAGACATGGTGTCACCTGCATTTGTCAGAACTCTCAAAGACTCAACATTTTTATACTATACCATGTTAAAAGGCATGGCAAACCTTTGAATGGACCAGTCAAGTTGAGTGCTTAAGAGCCATAATAACGCAGTTAAAAATCTTTGTCCATGATTTTCTGATCCAGACTACATACCTGACCAAACCTCAAACCCAACACATAGGGAGTCTACAGTTGTGGTCACAAGGAATACAAATTTCAGCATCCCTGTACAACAATTTTGTAGATTTTCACAATTTAAAAGAACACATACAATTTCTGCTAACATAAACTCATCAGGTCCTCCTATAGCTTCTATGTCTTTCTCCATCACTTGTCCCTTTGACACCCCATTCCCCTAATCCCATCTTTTTCTTTAACCTGGTTTGGACACCCTTAGGGGACTTTCAGAGAAGCAGCCTAATCCTCTCATCCTGGTGGGGCAATGGGTACTCCGTGTCCCTGCTGGGGACCTTGGGTGATCTAACTGCTACAGCACGGATAGGACCCAAATCATCGTCATCTTTATCAGGGTGGTGCAGTAAGGCTTTTGACACTGTTGCACGTAGAAGGCTCATCAATAAACTGCAATATTTAAGTTTGGATTCCAATATTGTTGAATGGGTAAGGCAGTGGCTGAGTGACAGGCAACAGAGGGTTGTAGTCAATGGAATATATTCGAAGCATGGGTTTGTCACCAGTGGGGTACCTCAGGGATCTGTACTTGGACCCATTCTCTTTAATATTTTTATTAGTGATATTGCAGAAGGTATTAATGGTAAGGTGTGTATTTTTGCTGATGATACTAAGATATGTAACAGGGTTGATATTCCAGGAAGGATAAGCCAAATGGCAAATGATTTAGGTAAACTAGAAAAATGGCCAGAGTTGTGGCAACTGACATTTAATGTGAATAAGTGCAAGATAATGCATCTTGGATGTAAAAACCCAAGGGCAAAGTGCAGAATATTTGACAGAGTCCTAACCTCAACATCTGAGAAAAGGGATTTAGAGGTGATTATTTCTGATGACTTAAAGGTAGGCAGGAAATGCTAGCAGAATGCTTGGTTGTATAGGGAGAGCTATTAGCAGTAGAAAGAGGGAAGTGCGGGGTGAAGCGGGGCAATTTGACTCTTAGCCCGCTGCCCAACAATACTTATATGGGGATGTGACTGCCTGAACATAGCGTACTGCGTATCACCTCATACGAATAGATTATTTGTTTATTTGTTTATATGATTATATGTTTCAATGTACAATATGCCTTATTATGCTCAGTTCCTACCATATTCATCTACCAAAAGGGAGCCCAAGCCGCCACTGCTTGGAAGTCTTAAACTCCCACCCCCACAGGTGTGATAGACACACCGGACCCTACAAGGTCCAAACCCCTGGCTCCAACCACCCCCTCACCCCCTCCTCGGATCCTACCGCCACCTCCCCATACCGAGAACAAACCCAATCTACAATAAACTCAACGTCACCCTACTAGGTTCCCCCAAATAGCGAACACCAGTCACCATGAAAATATACACACACAATGTCAAAGGACTAAACACACCCCACAAAAGACGCACACTGCTAGAAGACCTAAAACACAACAAAGCGGACATAGCCTGCATACAAGAAACACACTTTGTATCAAACCGAACCCCCACCTTCGCGACAAGGGACTACCCATTCCAACTCCATGCAACCCACACCTCCAAATCAAGAGGGGTATCTTTACTTTTCCATAATACCCTTACAATAGAACCCCTTCAAACAAAGATTGACAACCAGGGGCGCTACATAATACTCCATTGTCTAATCAACAACAGCCCATTCTTACTAATAGGGCTGTACAGCCCAAATGACCACCAATACAACTTCCTACATAAAGTACTCGCCAAACTACCGACTAATACCAATGCCCCAATACTGATCTGTGGAGATCTAAATCACACCATGGACTCACGCATAGACTCCACACTCGCTAATACCTCAAACAGACATACCACACTGAAAAGTAATAGCAAAGCTCTCACAAAACTACTACACAACCATGGTCTATATGACGTGTGGAGAACACTCCACCCAACTGCAAGAGAATACACCTTCTACTCACAGGTCCACAAAACACATTCCAGAATCGACTATATACTTGCTTCCGGACCATTACTCCAACAAACCCTCGACTGCTCCATAGGCACCATTATATGGTCGGACCATGCACCCGTCCTAATGACGATACGTGAGAGCTACCAACATAGGGGCAAACCCCCGTGGCGCCTCAACGATACGCTACTGAATGACAAGACCTTTACGCAACAACTCACCCGACAACTACAAGACTATTTTGCACTAAATGATACTCCAGAATTATCCGCCGGGACCCTCTGGCAGGCCCACAAAGCGGTCATGAGAGGATCACTAGTCAGCAGGGCAGCCTACCTGAAACGTAAAAGATAAAGCAAACTCATAATCCTGCTGAAGACACTCAGGGACACGACCTCAGCGCATCTCCTGAACCCCTCAGACGCATACAGAGAAAGAATCAAAACCATTACTACCCAAATCAACCAAATAAATCTTAACAAAACGGCCTACATGCTTACCAAATTAAAAATGAAAACGTACACACAGGGCAACAAAGCAGGGAAATACCTAGCTACAATGCTAAAGCAAAAACAAGCCAACTCCAAAATACCATACCTAATAGCCAAAAACGGAGAGAAGCTACTAAACCCTCAGGACATTAACGACGAAATGGCTGACTACTACCAAAATCTTTACAACCTGAAGGACGACCTAACTGTCCACCAACCTACCCCACAAGAAATAAACACATTTCTGCAACAGGCAAGTCTGCCAACACTATCCCCGACCCAAGCGCAATCCATACAAGACCAAATAACCACACAAGAAATCTTAGAGGCCATACAAGCCCTACCTCCCGGGAAATCACCAGGCCCTGATGGGCTAACCAACCTGTATTACAAACAATTTGCCCCACTCCTAGCCCCCTACTTGCGAAAACTATTCAACGATGTCCTGATCACAGGAACTATGCCACGGGAAATGCTGATGGCACACGTCGCTACCCTCCCAAAACCAGGGAAGCTGCCAGATAGAAGCCAAAATCTGCGCCCAATATCCCTATTGAACACAGATGTGAAGCTCCTCGCAAAAATCTTCTCGAACAGACTAACAACCATCATCCCAACCCTGATCGGAAGAGATCAAGTGGGGTTCGTGGGGGGTAGACAGGGGGCAGACGGCACGCGCAAAATCCTCAACATGCTACACGGAATACGGGGAGGAGGGGCACCAACAATACTACTCTCGCTGGATGCCGAAAAGGCCTTTGACAGGCTCCACTGGCCCTTCCTCCTCGAGGTCCTCCGACGATTTCACTTCCCACCTCAATTCTTAAAATTGATCACGGCACTCTACTCAACGCCAACAGCCCGAGTGGTGAATGGAGGCTTCATATCCAAACCGTTCACCATCTCAAACGGCTCCAGACAAGGCTGCCCACTTTCCCCCCTACTATATATATTGGCATTAGAACCCCTAATCCAACTAATTAGAGAAAACCCCAACATACATGGAGTCAAACTCAAAGGCCAGGAATACAAACTATCCCTGTTCGCTGACGACATCCTTCTCACCCTAGAACAACCCCATATATCCCTTCCAAATTTCCACCACCTCCTTACCCAATACAGCCGATGCTCCTACTATAAGCTAAATATATCAAAAACGCTAGCCCTAGGGATCAATGTTCCAGCTCAAGACATAATCAAGTTGAAAGCCAATTATACGTACAACTGGAGACAAGATCATATAACATTCCTGGGAGTGAATTTTACCCCCACGCCAAACTCACTTTTCAAAGCGAACTACCTCAAACTACAAAGCGAAGTCAAAACTCTTCTACAAAGCTGGAAAGGGAAATTCGTCTCCTGGCCGGGCAGAATAGCCTCTGTTAAAATGGTAGCTATACCGAAAATCCAATATCTATTTAGAACCCTACCAATACCATTACCACACAATTACATTCGTAACCTACAGAACATCATCAGCGAGTACATCTGGGAAAATAAAAAACCACGGGTGGCAAAAGCTACAATGCACAACCCATTCGCCAAAGGAGGGATGGGACTACCGGATATTCGGAGATACTACAAGGCAGCCCACATAGCTCCCCTACTAGCAGCATCACACCAACATGAACCTCCAACGTGGGTCGAAATAGAAAAAAACTATGCAGAGGGATTCTCCATACCAGCGTTAGCCTGGATACCAAAACCGCAAAGACCCAAAACTACCGGAATGCTACCCACGACCAGGCTCACTATCTCAATATGGGACAATTACCAGAAAAGCATGGGCACCACGGCCCTGTACTCCCCCGCCCTCCCAGTAGAGTCAATGAAAGCTCTTATACCAGACTTCAACTACAAAATCTGGCACAGACATGGCATAAAAACCCTGTCACAACTAACAAGGGACTCCCACATGAAACCTTTCTCGGAACTCCAAACAGAATACCAACTACCGAATACAGCACTATTCTCATACAGACAACTATTATCCTGACACACCCTACAATTCAAACAAAAACCCACCGAGAGAACAACTACAAGCTGGCAAACCATAGAACAAATATGTACGGCAACCAAACGGACCAAAAAGCTAATCTCCACAATATACACATCTGAAGGACCTCAACCCAAACAACATTCCCCATCTTACGTAACAGCCTGGGAAAAAGATATTGGATATCAGATCACCAAAGAACAATGGAACAACATCTTCAAAGCACACAAACAACTCACCCTCTGCACGACTCACTTGGAGCTGACTCGCAAAATCCTTTACAGATGGTACCTGGTCCCCACACGCCTTAAACACAGCTTCCCCACCATGTCAGACGCATGCTGGAGATGCCATAAGGACAGAGGTACTATGTTGCATATATGGTGGCAATGTGAAAAAATTTGACAATTCTGGCAACAAATAGCACATCTAATCACTAAACACACAGATCTCAAACTACCACACAAACCAGAAACATATTTACTTCTCCTACTGCCACAAATACCACACAAACAACAGAAATATCTTACATACCACATCATAATAGCCGCGCTCACCAGCATAAGCAGAAACTGGAAACAAACATCACCCCCCTCGATCACACAATGTATCACAATCATAAACAGTAACAAAACATATGAAATTATGGCCAGGAGTACACAAAAACACCCTCAATACTGGCTCGAAGCATGGGAAAGATGGGAAAAAAACCTTACCAACCCTGTAAACAGCACAGACAACCACTACGCAACATGAATCAATACCTCTCTGCACTGAGGTCACGATAGCACACCCTCCCCCCCCCTCCCCCCCAAAAAAAATGCAATCTAACTACCTGGTTAAAACAAACAACGGAACCAATACTATGTCTGTAACTGTGAAACTTTGGGCAAGGTGGCGCCCTGCTACATACCTTACAATAGGGTTTCCTCACCCCACCACCTCCCCCCCCCTTTTTTTCTCTTCTGTATCCCTCCTGCAACTCCACAATAGTGGAATTACAATGTACCTTTCCCCCCACCTCTTTTCTTTTCTGTACCCTATATTACCGGAAAATATAAATTGTCAAATTCAAAAAAAGAAAGAGGGAAGTGCTCATGCCATTGTACAGAACACTGGTGAGACCTCACTTGGAGTATTGTGCACAGTACTGGAGACCGTATCTCCAGAAGGATATTGATACTTTAGAGAGAGTTCAGAGAAGGGCTACTAAACTAGTTCATGGATTGCAGGATAAATCTTACAAGGAAAGATTAAAGGAACTTAACATGTATAACTTGAAGGAAAGACCAGACAGGGGGGATATGATAGAAACATTTAAATACATAAAGGGAATCAACACAGTAAAGGAGGAGACTATATTTAAAAGAATAAAAACTACCACAACAAGAGGATATAGTCTTAAATTAGAGGGGCAAAGGTTTAAAAATAATATCCGGAAGTATTACTTTACTGAGAGGGTAGTGGATGCATGGAATAGACTTCCAGCTGAAGTGGTAGAGGTTAACACAGTAAAGGAGTTTAAGCATGCATGGGATATGCATAAGGCTATAAGATAACTATGAGATAAGGCCAGGGACTAATGAAAGTATTTTTAAAAATTGGGCAGACTAGATGGGCCGAAAGGTTCTTATCACTAAATAATCCCCTAGCTCCCCAACCCTGGCAACATACTGTTTGCAGTTTTTCCCTGGGTTGGGGGCGGGGGGGTATTCTTTAGACCATTTCGGACTCACGGGCAATTAGGACTGGACTTGGAATTGTTGGTTAATCAGTGGTGAAGGACAGCTGTCTTGGAATCAAAGTTCTGACAAGGTCTGCCACTTCTCCACGAGCTTGAGTGCTTAAAACCAGAAATTTCAATCACTTGACAACAATGATTATTCAGGGGATTGGGGCAGCTGTTTGGAACGCAGAGGGTCCCACAAACTGTCCCCACTCCTCGAGCTTTATGCTTAAAAGTCAAGGATACATAAGAATAGCACAGTTATCCATCCATCAAGTACAGTTTTCAAACAATTTCCTTTTACTTTTACCTTTTTACCTTTTAGCCTACCAAAGGCACAACCTCCTACCAAAGGAGGGGCTGTCTCCCAGAGACAGCAACTATAAAAAGTCCCTGAATCTACCTTAGACTATGCAGTAAAGATCCCCTTTAAATAAAGAATGTAACGTGTGGAGGGGAGCAAAAGCAAGGGAACGGGTGTCTAGAAGACACAATTCTCTTACCTTTTATGTCTCCCGTTGCATCCCACTTCTTACACCAGCTACTTGGGGAAAAATCAGCTATAAACGGGACATGATGGCTGGAGACCCCCTCCTCCCCCAGAACGTTCTGGGAACAAGTGAGGAGACGCACACAAAGATGTTTCCAAACAAGTTCAATATTTTATTATTCACAAGCTGTATTTATACATACTTTATCATGCTATGGGGTGTAACAGGGTGTAACAGGAAGCAGCTGCCCTTGATACCTAACAACTATGTTGATTTACACAAATATGCTGATTTACACAAAATACTACAAATACCGAAAACAAGAACATTTGACGACGTAAGCGGTAATGTTTTCCGAGAAATGAAACAACTGAACAACTGTTTCAAACTATCCATAAAGTTTCAAACTGCCCTTATAATATGAACAGCAAGAATAGATATAGTGAAATGGATATTCTATCCTTCACAGACAGCCATACACATACACAGCTGTGACGGACCGTCCGCCAATCGATGCTCCTAGCGCTTACCAAGGACCATCAGCACCGCACCGGACACCATAGGCACAGCAGACTCCACGAACGGCCGTAGCTTGGTTGGGGTCTCGCCATCTCCTCCAGGAGGATATAGCTGTGGGAAGGAACTCTCCTCCAGGAGAGTATAGCTGTATAGCTGAAGAGAGCTCTTACAAGAGCTAGCAGTGATATAGCAGTTATAGCTGTTCCCTACAAGGGCCATCAGCACTGCACCGGACACCATAGGCATCGCAGACTCCACGAACCACCGTAGCTTGGTTGGGGTCTCGCCGTCTCCTCCAGGAGGATATAGCTGTGGGAAGGACCTCTCCTCCAGGAGGGTAAAGCTGTGGAAAGGACCTCTCCTCCAGGAGAGTATAGCTGTGGGAAGGACCTCTCCTCCAGGAGAGTATAGCTGAAGAGAGCTCTTACAAGAGCTAGCAGTGATATTGCAGTTATAGCTGTTCCCTACAACACGAGACAAGGCTGCGAGTTGCGGGTAAGAAGGTCTCTTTCATGAGCACAAAGGCATTTCTTTTATACACATATTCAGGCCAGAGGCACACCCCCTGGACCTGATGGAACACAGGGACAAAAGGGACACAAACCAATGGGAACAATAATTAACACAGTAACACTCCCACATACAGTCAGCAAGCCCTCCCCTCTGCCTGTGATATAATTAAGCTAGCTAATGGAATAGCTTAATTATCCACAGGCAGGAAATATAACATTTTACCCAAAACACAGAAAACACCCCAAAACACCTGTGGTAAATTACCAAACTCTATAAATGATTATGTACGCATACACATATAAACTGTGGTCCGTCTACTTTAACAAATATTTATTCAGAGACAAAACAACAACAACATACAAATAATGACACACAATCTACCTAACTATACCACCAACAACAGCAACAACAACCTAACTAACAATAACAACTACATCTTATAAAATCCCACTCACAGTTCACCATGATAGAAATTAGGCCATGTCTGCTTAAGGGACTGCTCAGTAGCACAGCCAAGAAGGAACAGGGAGGAATGGAGATAGGGGTAGTGGTTACCTCTTTCCTGACTTGTAAAGGTATTGAATTACCCAATTACCATATCAAAAGGTAAAGCTTATCCCACTGTAAGAAAGGCATACATGAGCTTGGTCACATGATCCCTGGTCACCATATTAGTTTGATGACAGAATGTCACCACAACACCACGTATCCCCACAATTATACATCCCTGGATAGCCCTGACCTGGGTGAACAACATATTGAACAATCACCCAGATAAGAGCAGGGGTTCAAAAGTTTTGTGGAAGTCACATTTGACCGACTGCAGGCACATTTTCATGCCCAAAACAGTTCCAGAGAATTAGGCTGTGCGGCCGGTCTATTTCCATTACTAAGTTCTGTTCGAATGCACGAACGGGGGCCGGTCATGCAAATAGTCAAAGTTAAAGTGGCGTTCGAATTGTCGAACGCACTTCGATTCCCGTCAAAGTGTTGAAGTATGGCGAAGGTAAAGTTCAGTGGTGTTCGTGCTGTCACGTGTCTGATTTGAGTTCCATGAATTCGAGTGTTCGCCAAGTGTTCGACTATATGAATGGGGGTCACTTCGACGACTTCAGCTGTATCCGAAGTGCCATTTCGACTACTTAGGAAGTTTAAAGAGCCAGTGTCCACAATACCAATAGGCAGAAATAATGTCTTAGAACAAAATAAGTCACAGGGGCCATAGTCAAAAGGTAAAAGGCTAGCAAGTAGTCCTCTCCAAAACTTAGTGGCGAAGTGCAATCCGTCACAACAGCCATACACCCATACACAAAGACCGAAGGGCAGGCTATTTCAGTTGCTGTCCGTTCTCAGAATACTCTTGCGACCTGTTTTTTACACTAAGGGCTCCCTCGCCGCGGCCCGGGCCACATAAATATTAGTTTGACATGGCTGCACTACACACACACACACACTGCATCCACTACTTAAACAAGCACACTGCATCCACTACACAGACAGACACACTATCAGACATTTTGTGGATAAAATAAATGTTTCTGCAAGTCACTGTCTAGCTAATGTGACTGCATTTCGCCTGCTAGTAGCAGAAAGTAAAAGGCACATTTATTTTTTTTCTCTCTCTCTTCACAGCCTATTGGTAAAACTGAGGAATTCAAGCTAGTGTAAACATTCATGAGAAGTTCTTACAGAACATCTTTAATTCACTAGAAACCAAAGTGTTAAGAAGAAATGAAGATTAAGTTTGATTATATACTAAACAGTATCAATCTTTTATAAAAGTTACATAGAAGAATCCACTGAATATATATTTTTTTATTATTAAATTCTAACACTAGATGTGTGTATTAAAGATGATTGATTATTCATGTGAACGAAAATCTGTACTGTTACTTGCTAAGTATATTGACCCCTACTGGTAGATAATTTAAGATCACTTGTCTTATAGTAAAGGGTTAGTAGTCCACTCAGAAATGATCTGTGTTGTGGTTATGGTTGCCATAATATAGGCATGTTATTCCTATTGTTCTACCAAATATTCACTGATTATTGTCATGCATGTTACATGTTGTAATTAATTATTTGTCACAATAAATTATATTTTTATAATCGGTTGTGATTACTGTGATGACCGGACATGCTTTTGTGTAGATCCTGGTGGCGAGGACAATAAATAAGCTCTTTCATTGGACTTACCTAAATTCAATACTTCTGCCTTACCTGCTGATAATTCTGAAGTATACCACGCCTAACTGATCAGTATTTGGGGTGCTTTAGTGCTTGTAATACACGTCCATGTCTGCGGCTTGCTGCATCAGATGCACCTGGTGCTGGGGTAGTGGCCGACCCCCCTGTGGCGGACACCCCGATGGGAAGAGGGGTTTCACAGCCAGAGATGTTCTATTCCCACCAGTGTGAGTAGAGCTGCAATAATCCTGGATGCGATAATCCTAAAACATAGTGAAATAGCTGTTATAGCTGTTCCCTACAGACACGAGACGAGGCTCTGTGTTGAGGGTAAAACTGGAACTGCTTTAATGGGAGCCACAGCTGGCCTTTTATGCAAGTTCCCATGCAAGAGATTTTTGGTGACACATTCCAGGGTATTCCCCACTGGACCTGAAAGGGGACAGCAACATAAGGTCCAGGACAAGCATAATAAAAATACCTCAAAATATATATTTAACAGTGAGATATCCCTTCAAGTTCTATATCCCCAGATATTCTGGGTCTAAGCGCCCAACATATCCCGAAAGTGCTCAGATCCCACGAACGCAGCAGAGAGTAGTAATAACATTATGCAAATATCTTCGGGGTCAATACAAACCATGGTCTGGAAATCTATTCATAAACAGGACACAAGTTCACACATTTAGACTAGAAGAAAGGAAATTTAGTCCAAGGCAAAGGAAAGTTTTTATTTACAGTAAGAACAATACGGATGGGAAAATCTCTGCCTAAAGAGGTGTTTTTTTTAGGAGTCTGTACAGATGTTTAAACAGCAATTGGATAAATACTTGGAAAAACATAATATACAGGGAAGTAATTAGTGGGGCAATGCACTAGTGCATTAGTTAATTAGTGGGGCAATAGCTTCTTGATCCAAGGAGATATCCGACTGCCATACTGGGTCAAGAAGAAATGTTATCTAGTTTGTTGGTAGCGCCAGGGACGTATTAGCCGCGAGGCAAACAAGGCATTTGCCTTGGGCGGCATTTTTCAGGGGGCGGCAAAAAACGCCGCCCCCCAAATGCCCAGGGCAGATGCCTTGTTAGCCTTGCGGCTAACTGACATCCCGGGCGGACGGCCGGCGAGGGAGCACTTCCCATGAGCTGACTGCTCAGCTCCCTCGCGCACCGCAAAGTGAGGCTGGGAGCCGGAAGATGACGTCATCTTCCGGTTCCCAGCCTCACTCTGCAGCCGACGCGCGAGGGAGCTGAGCCCGCCCGCCCGCCACTGGACCACCAGGGAGACCACCAGAAGAGGTTTTGGTATAAACTTAAAATACCTCTGCGCAAGTGACTTGAGCCTATCCCTATAAGGTTCAGCACCATGTGAGAGTGTTTCTTACAGACTATATATTGTTTTATGTACTTAGACATACTACACCATATTCTGTCTATTTCTCCCATTTAGACATTCTCTTTTGTTCATTCCCTTATATGAGGGTAAGTGTGTATCTTTAGCGCTCCACTGGGTTTTTGTTTGTTGTGGTTGGTTTTCTCCACTCAAACAATACTCCACTATTTTGGTTGCATGTTATTGTGTTAGGTTAGAGGTACCTACACGAGTGTTGAGCTGCTTTTTGGTATTTCTTTTGTAACACTACTTTAAGCGCCTTATATTTGACACAGTACATCTGGTTTATAAGAAACAGTAAGTCTGTGTGTGTGTGTGTTAGAGCCAGTGTGTGTGCTGGAGCCAGTGAGTGTGTGTATAAGCAGTGTGTGTGTGTGTAAGAGTTAGTGTGTGCGTGTGTGTATAAGCAGTCTGTGCATGTAAGGGTCAGTGTGCGTGTGTAATAGCCAGTGTGTGAGACACAAGGGGGTAAAGAGACCACAACATTAGGATGAAGACACAAAAACATGAAAAGAATGCCAAATAAGAAAAAGGTGGCAAGATGCACAAAAGGGGCAAACGAATGGGTAAGAGGGGCAAAAGGGGGCATATTAGACAGACAGGTGAAGACAAGTTTTTGGGGCAGCAAAATATGTCTTCGCCTGTGTAGACAGAAGTCCTTGCACCGGCCCTGGGCCCACTTCATCTTCTTACCACGTAGAAGAAGATTGGGAGATCTGGCACTCTCCATCATGTCTAAAGACATCAGGAAATAATACCCTGCTCTATAATATCAAATAATATACAAATATAGGGGTATCCTACATATAGGGGTATCCTACAGATAATCAGATTGTTTGTGAAGCAAATGTTATGTAGTAAACATGGATAGAAACATTTGGGAGTAAGTATTTTATTTGCATTTTCCATTAAGCAGATTTTTGTTTTTTATTATTGCTAGGAATTATATATTTTCTCCCCTTGCCAGCTCCCTTAATATGAATGTTCATTAATATCAACGGCAGCAATAATAACCACAAAAACACACATATTGCACATTCACATCCCAGTATGGGCTGCAGGAGGGGTTCTGGCTTCTGAAGGTATGCAAAGTCCTGTGACTGTTCCCACCATTGTTAGATGGCTGAAGCCCTCCTTTCACTTTTTACTGGATGTAGATCCTGAAGTCCGACACTGAATTGTCTGATGCACCAGATGATCCCAGTCAGCATCCGAAATCTGCTGTGCCCAAATTGGGATGGAAATTGAAGGTAACTTTACTGCCGCCATGGCATTTTTTACAAGTTCCACATGATCTGTAAAGTATGAGAATAGAGAAAGGTCAAAACCTCGCATAAATTGTGAGAATGCTGCCAACTCACAAAAGACAGGAAGAAAAGCTGGAGTCTCTATGGGCAATTTATAGATTCACAGTGTGAATGAGTATTGGGGTTTATATCAACTTTCAAATCCCATACCTGGATCCATAGGGATTGAACCGGTCGAAGCTCCACTCTCATCTTCATCATCACTGTCTACAGGAGGGTCAGGTAAATGCAGCCGCATGGCCTGAAACAATAAATATGAGATGATAAAGCTGTATGCCATAAATGTGTGCGATGCTAGAGATAATATGTATATGTTGCCATGTTTAGCCACGAACATGCGAACCTCAGTGCTTTTCCTATCCTCCTCAAAAGTTAGTAAGGAACCAGATTCTCCCACGCTCAGTAGTTTAAGATTCAGCCACTATAGTGATGCATTTAGTGATAATGTAGTCTGTAAATTTCTATGCATGTGGATATATATATATTTATATTAAAGGACCACTATAGGCATCCAGACCACTTCAGCTTAATGAAGTGGTCTGGGTGCCAGGCCCAGCTAGGTTTAACCCTTTCTTGTATAAACATAGCAGTTTCAGAGAAAATGCTATGTTTATAATAGGGTTAATCCCATGCTCAGTAGTTTAAGATTCAGCCACTATAGTGATGCATTTAGTGATAATGTGGTCTATAAATTTCTATGCATGTGGATATATATATTAAAGGACCACTATAGGCACCCAGACCACTTCAGCTTAATGAAGTGGTCTGGGTGCCAGGTCCAGCTAGGTTTAACCCTTTCTTCTACAAACATAGCAATTTCAGAGAAACTGCTATGTTTATAATAGGGTTAATCTAGCCTCTAGTGGCTGTCTCATTGACAGCCGCTAGAGGCGCTTTCACGCTTCTCACTGTGATTTTCACAGTGAGAAGAAGCCAGCGTCCATAGGAAAGCCTTGAAAATGCTTTCCTATGGACTGGCTGAATGCGCGCATGGCTGTTGCCGCGCATGCGCATTCAGCCGATGACGAGGAGGAGGAGGAGAGTCCCCAGCCTGGCGCTGGAAAAGGAGGTAAATTTAACCCCTTCCTCACCCTTAAGCCCGGCAGGAGGGGGGCCCTGAGGGTGGGGGCACCCTCAGGGCACTATAGTGGTCCTTTAAACCCTTAAGGACCAAACTTCTGGAATAAAATGGAATCATGACATGTCACACATGTCATGTGTCCTTAAGGGGTTAAGAAACACTGGACGTCGACAAGTGCATTTGTTGGAGGGTGAATTTATAGTCATAATTTTTGGAAGATATGTTTTATTTTACAGATGAATTTGTGCATGCTAGGACTATTATTCAAACATCTAATGTGTGTTTCTCCAAATCTTGTGAATAAATACAATGGATATCAAGTACCGGTTTTGATTTATTTTGAGGAATTTCATCCTCTCTTTACATTAAAAATGGAGTATTAGTACATGTATCCTCAAAAGGTTAAAATCCATTTAAATTTCTCTTTGCACATGTCACTGTTTTCCTTAATATTTCCAAAAATAAACTGTAACCATGATGGTGCGTCTTATTGCAGGTCTTCGCACAATTTATTTTTACAAATGGATGAATGAGACTACAGGACATTATTGTATAGAGTGTGTCAGAGGCGGCTCTCTAAGTAGGCTATTTAGGCAGCCACCTAAGGCCTTGCACTGGCTGGGGCCTTGCAGCGGCCTAAATTGCCTTGGAGCAGAGTGACTCGTCGGCCACTCCAGTCTGCCATGAGAGTGAGAGCCAGCGACCCACCGGGTGTGAGATGCAGACTGAATTGTCTCGGGATCTCCAGCCAATCAGAGCATTGCAATGCGTTACCATGGCAATGCTCTGACTTCTGGAGATCGCGAGACTTCTAGTGGTCTGCAGCTCACACCCGGTGGCGGTGCAGATCGTATAGGGAGCCCACTGGACCACCAAGGAAAACAGTTTTTTCTCCACACACTGTCACCCCTCCTTCCCTCACTCTGCCACCTGTCACCCCCTCCATCCCTCACTGCTATCGGTCACTCCCTCCTTCCCTCACTCTGCCACCCCCTTCTTAAAGGGACACTGTAGGCACCCAGACCACTTCCGCTCATTGATTGCTGTGCCCCTTTTGCAGAAAACTTCAATGTTTACATTGCAGCACTAGGAATGCTCTCTGGCTGTCTAACAGACAGCCACTAGAGGGCTTCTGGAATCCAAAGTGACTTCTGATCCGTTGTCTGACGCTGGACGTCCTTGTGCTCTGCATGACGACCTCCAGCGTCAGATTTCTCCCCATAGGAAAGCACTGATTTAACAGAGGAGTGGGTGGAGCTTTGATCCATCATCGGCACTGGGATCTGGTAAGTAAATAAAGGCTTTTCAACACTTTATTTACCAGGGGGGGGGGGCGCGAGGGAGGGGGGAGACAGAGGGATCGGTAGTTCCTGAAATACAGCTCTGTATTCCTGACACTACAGTATCCCTTTAACTCACTCTGCCACCCCCTCCTTCCCCAACACTGCCACCCCCTCCTTCCCTTTATCTGCCACCCCCTCCTTCCCTTTATCTGCCACCTGTCACCCCTCCTTCCCTCACTGTGCCACCCCCCTTTCCTTACTGCTGTCGGTTTTCATGTATTTTGACCCTTCAATATATTGGTGACTATGGCTCTTTAAGGTATGATTGATGTAGCGACAACATCTGTCCCGATCATTCATTACTTATTGTGATTATACAGCATTAGAACAACTATATCTTTTTGAAAGTATACCGTAAAATTTTTTTGGGATTAACTATTCTAGCTGATAACTTGACTATCACTAAAATAATCCAGTGTCTGAAGACCCAAACGGCACTGTAATAATATTGTATAAATTAAACAGTGACTCAAATATAAAAATGTATGTATTAAATTAATGTTCCAGAAAGGAAAAATATAAGAAACATAATCTTATCAGTAGAATTTTAAATTAATGAATATTACATAAAGAAAAATTAACAAATAACCTTACCAACAGAAATGAGGTAAAGACCGGCAGCAGGATATGTATGATGGAATGACGAATGACAAGTTCTAACTGTCTTCTTACATTTATATACTTATTTCTTCATCCACATGCTGTGATATTTCCCAAAAAGACTAACTTGTTCCCTGATAGATAATGTAATGTGCTGTATGGCTATGGTTAGCAGATACTTATTTAGCACTGTTTATGATTAGCTCCAAAGAGTTAAAAGTAAGATTTTAAAGATGGCTAGTTGACTCTTTGGTTGACAGGCAACACGTCTTTGTCCTATGTCAAGTTAACATTTTGATTGACAGGCACATGTTTGTGCCAATTTAACATTTTAACCCTTCTAGTGCTGTTAACCTTGTAGAAATGTCATGTGTCTGCAATGTGTATATATATATATATATATATTTATTTGTGGTCGGTTAATATAGAGACCGTGAAATACCTTGAGACTGGAGCAAGTCGTGAGGTGTGCTGAAACAGACGTAGGGGTAGGCCTGTAATAAAGGGGGCCCCCTGGAGGAATTGTTTAGGCATGAAGAGGGTGAGGTGGGTAGGGTGGGTGAACAGAGCACCACGGAGAAGGTAAGAAGGGGCAGTAGCGTTTCATAGGAACGCTAACTCCTCCCAAACATACAGGCCTTCGGCCTTAAACTTGTGGTCGGTTAATATAGAGACCGTGAAATACCTTGTGATTGGAGCAAGTCGGTGTGGTGTGCCAAAACCGACGTAGGGGTAGGCCTGTAATAAAGAGGGCAAAAGAAATGCAGAAAACACTCTTTATTGCAAACATGATTATAATACAAGATTTTTAAATGCATTCCTTAACTCTTTCTGGTTGTGGTATGTATCTATTGTATACTGTGGATTTCCAACGTCCCAACTTTTTGATGATGTGTACTGGTGTATTGATACTGGATGCGGCCCCTATTATCAATGAATGCCCAGAATAAGAGGTAGGGTCCCAATTTAATCTGATGCACAGAGTTCTAATGTAGAACATGAATTTGGAAGTAGTGAGGGGACTGCCTAGCAGTGTGAAAAATGGAGTGGCTGGAATTGTCCCTAACCTGTATTCGATAAGTGTCTAGAACTTTGACAGGGCACCAATGATTCTCAGTAGGGTAGAAGGGCACTTCTAGCGGACGGCCTGATTGTTTGGTTTTGGAATGCCTAAGTAACAAAAGATAGTAATCATTCACCTTTTTTAAGTCTTTCATGATGAGACATAAATGACTGTCTGACTGGGTTGTTATCGTGAATTCTCTAGGTCTCAGGTATCCATAGAATGCTATGTACATAGAGGTTTTTTTTGACCAGGTTTGTATGGGGGTCAAATGGTAGTGTGTCCAGTATGTCTGATAAAGCCCGGAATTTCTCTCCATCTATAGGCAGACGTTTCTGTGTAGTGTGATGATCTAATTTATTTATGCCTTTTAGTATATTCTAGACATGTGCAATTCGTTTCGGGCAGAGTATGAATTCGGACGATTTTCGGGCAATTCGGACATTTGGGTACTTCTGTATGTCCGAATAGCCGAGGTCCCGAAGTTACCGAATTTCCGAAGTACAGTATTGCCTAAGTACTAATATACTTACCCAGTGGAAGAAGAAGAATGTTACACTGTATACAATTTTAAATAAAAAGTATACAAACATAGCCAGGATTCAGCTGTAAGCATTTGCAACACTTACAACAATCAAGTAACACACATTCATATAAAATGTAAGTTACTTGATCAGTCAATGTAATGACAGGAATGAATAAGTAGATAACTCCCTAATTCCCACGGTATTAGGGAGCCATCTACTAAAAGGCTGAAAGACCTTAATTGGTCTTAATATATAAATCCATAATAACCGACGCAATTAAAAATTAAATTAAAAAAAACGAGCGCAAAAAAAAAAAAATAATCCATCTTCACCCGGCGAGGGCTTCGTGCAGACTGAGCTCTGTAGTGCAGGGGAAGGCTTATAAAGCCTTTCCCCACCCTGCAATTAGGCTCAGAGCACTCTGATTGGGAGGGGGGACCCTTTTTTTTTTTTAAAACAGTGAGCAGCCATAGGCTGCTCACTGTTTACTAGACATGCCCCTACTCATGGTATAGCGAGTAGGGGCATAATTTACTAATACTAAGTAATCTTTACTTAGTAAATTTGGCTGAAAGACCAATTTAGGTCTTTCAGCCTTTTGGTAGATAGCTCCCTAATACCGTGGGAATTATGGAGTTATCTACCAAGCGGCTGCAAGAGAAGTTCAGAAATTCCGATGTTCCGAAGTGTCGAAGTTAACGAAATGCCGAAGTGTCAAAGTGCCGAAGTCCTGAATTTGGTGTTGTACACCTGGTAGATAGAGTTTGATAGTGTTATAAGAAAGTTTGAGATGAAGGTGGCAAAATGCGGCAAATGCTACCATGGTTTGGATAGAATGATCGTGAATGTTGAATTCTACGGTGAGCCTCTGAAAAATTATCATAGCTCTATTGTAGGTTTTCTTAGTGTTTGTGGACAAAGCTGCTTATGCCAATTCACTGCCATGCACCAATATCCAGGTTAATCAGGATTAAATTGTTGAACTCCGGGGTTTGGGTCGGGTTTTTGTTGGCTGACGGGTTCAGAATTCCTGAAATTTACAATGGGATAAGGAGTCAGCGGCAGAGTTGTAGTAGCCAACCAGGTCAGCCTGCGAACTAACCTCATGATGGTCGTGACCGACCCTTATTAATTATGTCACAGGCTGCCATGTTGTCAGTATAACATTTAACAGTCATGCGCGACCAGGATTTGCCCCATGTGAATGCAGCCACTACTAACGGGTAAAATTCAAATAAAGCGGACGTCTCGCCAAAGGAAGGCAGTTAGAGTGCCTCTTTCTGCCAGCAATCTATCAACCAGTGATTTTTGTAGATTGCTGCGAGCCCAGTGTTGTGCATCTGTCCAAAAGACTGGGGATTGGTCGGAGACCAGGGGAATAAACATTGAAAACCCCATTCCAGTGTTCCAGGAACTCTTGCCACATGACCAGATCTGCCCTAGCCGGAGGATCTAAACGACCAGTATTGCAGTCGGGCAGATCTGGTAATAGACGTAGCAGTCTATATATAAATCATCTCCCCTGGGGGATAATGCGCATGGCAAAGTTTAAAGGACCACTATAGTGCCAGGAAAACATACTCGTTTTCCTGGCACTATAGTGCCCTGAGGGTGCCCCCACCCTCAGGGTCCCCCTACCCCCGGCTCTGGAAGGGGGTAAAAACTTACCTTTTTCCAGCGCCGGGCGGGGAGCTCTCTGCCTCCTCTCCTCCTCCGATCCGCCCCATCGGCTGAATGCGCACGCGCAGCAAGAGCTGCACGCGCATTCAGCCGGTCACATAGGAAAGCATTCATAATGCTTTCCTATGGACGCTGGCGTGCTCTCACGGTGAAAATCACAGTGAGAAGCACGCAAGCGCCTCTAGTGGCTGTCAATGAGACAGCCACTAGAGGATTAGGGGGAAGGCTTAACCCATTGATAAACATAGCAGTTTCTCTGAAACTGCTATGTTTATAAAAAAATGGGTTAACCCTAGAAGGACCTGGCACCCAGACCACTTCATTAAGCTGAAGTGGTCTGGGTGCCTAGAGTGGTCCTTTAATGAACCTAACAAAGATTGTAGGTCCTTCCGTGTGAAAGTTCCTAGTTGCAGGAACCTGTTCACGTCTTCGCGAATGCGTAGGAGTTTATCCTCGGGAAGACTTGACTGCATGGTATTGGAATCCAGCGTGATACCTAGAAAATTACGTCTGATGGTGGGTTCAGTGGTTTTGTCTTGTGAAAGTGGAACGCCTAGAGTTGCAAATAGTGCTGTAGTGCTATTTAGACTTAGAGGAGTGCTATTGCTCCTTTCCACCATTAAAAAGTTGTCTAGATAGTGTATCACGGTGGGGCACCTAGTGATGTTAAGGAGAAGCCAGCAAAGAGTCTCGGCAAACGTGTCAAAGATTTTGGGGCTACTTTTTGTCCCGAAAGTGAGCCTGGTAGCGAAGTAATATTTCTCTCTCCACTTAACCCCATGAACATGCCATAATGAGGAATGAATAGGTAGCAACTTGAAGGCATTGGTGATCAGTCTTGCTAAGACATGCAGCTTTACCAGCTTTCAAGATTGCCTGTATAGCATTATCCACAGTGGTGTAGTGTAGAGAAAATTCGGTGGACGGTATGAGGGAGTTTAGGCTTGGGTTTGTAGACGAATGAGGAGCCGACAGATCAATGATTAGACGTTTTGTATTTGAGTATTTACTAGTGGCTATCCCAATCAAATTTGTGCGCCAGGAAGAAAAGGGGGAGGGAGCTCTTTTGAACTTCTTTCCCAATAAGATCATCAACTGTTTGTGGTTCGTGTACCGCGGATAGGAGGTTAGGACATTCTAAGGTACCTAAGGGGAGTGACACTAGCCCAGTATGTAAACCTTGTGAAAACCTGTGAATTAAGTATTCCACCAAGTGAGGGGACTGGTGAGTATTCAAGTAGAACGCCAAATTGCCTATGTTCTCCTCGGTTAGTCACTGTTTAGGGTTCAATTTAGATGGGCACATGGACTTTACGAGCCCTAAAGCATATGGAGCACACTTGCAGTAATCTGCAGGAACTGAAACTGCACAGTCCTGCATTGAAATTATTGCATACTAGCGCCTTGCCAAGGTAAACAATGGGTTGTCCAAGCTTGTCTTTTAAGCCGCGCTGGTCAGGTTTGTTGGACCCAACTGGGTGGTTCGTGTATAAGGAGGAATTGGCTTCCGAGGGGCACAAATTGGTGGTATAGGAGGTGGATGAGCAGACTGCACAAGCGGGTGCACCAAGCCTGCAAAATGTCTGCAAAAAACAGTTCTGTGTCCAACAGGCTCCAGTCAGTACGGATGTTAAACTGGGCCAGAATTGCTGCTGCTTTTGCCGACACAGATGGTAGTCATAAAACCCCCGTACTTGTGGCCAAAGTCCACCAATTTGTGCATGTATAAGTCGAGTTCTTTCCGGCATTGTGGATAAACAAAGCATACCACGTAAATACCAAAGGCTAGGACAAACTCGGGTGAGTTTTTTTGTTGAGTAATGGGTCTCTAGCCTTCATTACGACAGCGAAATCGCCGTAATTATAGGTTCTGTTTTCCACAAAGTCCTGGGAAGCAATTAGCAAAGAGACAAGGTTTACATCTTTACTAGAGTTGATCGAACCCGGACTGTAAAGTTCGGGTTCGTACCGAACATTACGTTTTTTGGACCCCGGATCCGAACACGGACATATCACTGTATGTTCGGGTTGGAGTTTGGTGTTCTGCGATTTAATGGCAGGTTTTGAAAGGCTGCAGGGCAGCCAATCAACAAGCGTTTGATTGGTGTGCCCTTAGAAGCCATCTACTAATGGCATGGCTGTGATTGGCCAGTGCAGCATGTGACCCAGCCTCTATATATAAGCTCGAGTCACGTAGCGCCGCACGTCACATGAGCTCTTAGTGTAGGGACAGGATGCTGTCACTTTCAGGGACAGATTAGGAAAGAATTCTGCAAACTAGTACATTAGTGGGGTGCACTTCATATCTGAGAGTCAAATAGAAGCATCATCAAGTACTGCGGTTACATCAGAGTTTTAAAAAGTAAATTTTTTTGGTGCTAAATAGTACATTAGTGGGGTGCACTTCATAACTGAGAGTCAAATAGAAGCGTCAAACAGTGTGCTTACAGCGCAGTTCTAAACATTCTAGTTGTTTTGCTGCTAAAAAGTAAATTTTGGGTGTGCTCTTCATATCAGAGTCAAATAGAAGCATTAAATAGTGTGCTTACAGTACAGTTGTAAACATTCAAATTGTTTTGCTGCTAATGTGCTAAATAGTACATTTTGGACGTGCTCTTCATATCTGAGAGTCAAATAGTGCGCTTACAGCGCAGTTGTAAAAATTATAATTGTTTTGCTGCTAAACTGATAAATAGTAAATTTTTACAACAGCGCTGTAAGTGCACTATTTGATGCTTCTATTTGACTCTTCATATCTGAGAGTCAAATAGAAGCGTCAAACAGTGCACTTACAGCGCTGTTGTAAAAATTCTAATTGTTTTGCTGCTAATTTGCTAAATGGTACATTTTGGGGCGTGCTCTTTATATCTGAGAGTCAAATTGAAGCGTCAAATAGTGCGCTTACAGCTGCAGCGTAACTTTGGCCTTCCTGCTCACCGCCTCATATGAGACGTGCCCACAAGGTGGAACTCCACCTTGCACAGGCTGCAGAGACTGTGCGAGCAGCAGCTGGCGATAGTGGAGTTTCAGCTGCAGCACGCACGGGTCAGTCACTCTGCACCAGACTTGCCCTCCAATTGATCAGAGTTAAAGGATTTCAAGTGGACTCATTACAATTACAGGGCCTCTAAAGAGTCCTGAATGGTTATTTGTCGTCACTACCTCCCCGCGTCGGGAGTGGGTCATTTGCGAGCCTGCTGCCTTCCTTGCATGTGGTAGCAGTTTGTCAGGGTCCCTGTATGGAATTGAACCCTGATTCCCAGTTACCCGTGGTCACCATGGTAGGCGCAGTAAATGGCATTGAAAGTTGATAGGGATTGACATACAAATGCGTCGTCGCCTTGTCGTTGGGGAACACATTGAAAAAGTGCTCTAGCATGATGAGCTGGGCGATCTCCTCCGGGAACTTGGCTTGATGGGAGTTGAGCCAGTTCTGGGTGGCCCTTGTGATGCCACGGTGTATACCCAGATATATCAGAGCTGCTGCAGAAAGGGAGGGCCGTCTGTGCGCGCTTTTGGCGTTCTCACCCTGCTGCTGCTCGCCTGTCTGTGCTGCAGCGTAACTTCGGCCTTCCCACTCACCGCCTCATGAGACTGTGCGAGAAGCAGCAAGCGATAGTGGAGTTTCAGATGCAGCAGGCACGGGTCAGTCGCTCTGCGGATCAGTTTTCTTTTTTTATATGTCCCAATATTTTGGGGGCTACCCCAATTAAAAAAAAAAAAAAAAAATATATTATATATATATATATATAAAAAACAGTGTTGGCTACCTCCTCCACCGCGACGGTCGCCGCCTCCTCAACCTATGGGTCACTTAGTATAAACTATGTACACAATAGCAGAGGCTTGTGAAGGCCTTTTCTCCATGCATCAGGAGTTGAGCTCAGTTTGAACAATGAAAAAGAATACCCTTGACTCCAACCCTCTCTAAAATTCGGGTCCCAATTGACTTCAATGGGGTTCGGGGTCAAGTTCGAGCCCGAACCCGGACTTTTTTTCAAGGTGTCCGTTCAACTCTAATCTTTACCATCTAGAACAGGGGTTCTCAACCCAGTCCTCAGGACCCCCTACCAGTCCAGGATTTGGGGATTACCTGGGTGTGTCTCAGGTGTTTAGAAAAAGGGAAAAAAACACAGACTCTAAGGTGTTTTTTTTTCTCAACACCTTAGACACAACCAGGTAATCCCTAAACCCTGGACTGGTAGGGGGTCCTGAGGACTAACGTTGAGAACCCCTGATCTAGAATGTCCTTGCGGAGAGCTGGGGGGACCATGTGAGCTGAGGTAATTACATGGGTGGAGGAGAGGGTGAAAGGTGAGGCAGGAGTCCTACCCTGCGTGTTGGGAGGTGCAAGTGTTTGTTCAGATTCTACGGGAGGAGGATCTATCTGAGCTGGGCTGGCATTTTACAATTTTGTCAGTCTATCATTTAAGGACTGAAGAGATGACATGATGGTGTCTAGAGTTCCTTGAATATTTGAGTTTTCCTCCTTGTGAGCTGGTATCCAACCCAAGATCCTAAGGATGAGCTGTGAGCAGCTTGAAGAGTTCCGCTTTCCTTGCTGTGACTGGGAAGGGGATTCCCCTCTGGCGCAGTTCAGCTGAGATCCTGGGGATAGTCCAGGACTTCAATGAGCCTGGCGTGGAGGGTTCTTGAAATTCTTTGGGGGTACCATGCCTAACAGGGGTACTAGGCCTAGCGGGTGTGCTAAGGGGGATGATTCTTCGCCTATGTTGGATTCCTGCAACACAACATCAATAGTCTGATTAATATTGCCCCGTTGAACTACGTAAAACTGGCTTGCTAACTAATGCCGAAGCGAAAAACTGATGCCGTGCTATTTAACCCCTTAAAGACCGGACTGTTTTTGCAATGTTGTACATTTGCGACCAGGCCTCTTTACACTTTTGTGGTGTTTGTGTTAAGCTGTAATTTTACGCTCTCTCATTTACTGTTCCCATACAAATTATATATTGTTTTTTTCAGGACAAAAAGGGCTTTCTTTACATACCATTAGTTATATAATCTCATGTAATTTAATTTAAAAAAAAAAAATATGACAAATTTAAAAAAAAATACATGTTTTTTGACTTTTACTTGAAATATCTTTTACTCATCTACAAAGGCGAATGAAAAAAACTGCTAAATAGATTTAAAAATACCCAGTGTTTACGTGCTTTTTTTTTTTTTGCAAGTTATAGGGCTATAAATACAAGTAGGATATTGCGGTTTCAAAACATACATTTTTAAAATTTATCAATAGTGACATTGTAACACTATTTTCTGTCATAAATCTCTGAATAACATCCCACATGCACATATTTTTTTTAAAGTAGACAACCCAGGGTATTCAAAATGGGGTATGTCCAGTCTTTTTTAGTAGCCACTTAGTCTCAAACACTGGCTAAAGTTAGCGTTCATATTTGTTTGTGTGTGAAAAAAGTAAAAAACTAAATTGAATACCCCATTTGCAATACCTTGGGTTGTCTTCTTTTGCAAATGGTATGCCATCATGGGGGTAATTCTCATTCCTGGGCTACCATATGCTCTCAAAGGCAACGTAACCAACCTGGCCATTTTCAAAGTAAAAATATTTGACCCTGTAATTTTTAAAAACGCAATTAAACCTGTACATGGGGGGTACTGTTATGCTCTGGAGACTTTGCTGAACACAAATGTCATGCCAAAAGCATGAGTTGGTGTTTGATGTGTGTTTATATATGTTAAGAGTTGTTTTTTGTAAACCTTGGGATGACATTTATTGTGGTCTTTGATCTTGCACCAGGCCTAGACCATAAAACATCTAGATAGCCATCACCAGAGCTGGACACAAGGAATTTCATAGAGTAGGCAATAGACTGCCAGACCAACCCGCTCTAATCCCCCCCCCCAGGGGTCTGCCCACTGAGAAAAAAACTAGTTTAGATATATAATGAGGGTGCTGGACTATCCAGGGAGTTCAGTTATTCATTTTTCTTTTGTCAGTAACTTCTAGGAGACCTATACCATCTAAGACTCCCACAAGAATTCTATATGGGGTAAATATATGTAAGGAATTTCTTGTGTTTTCTCCTATTTTATTTTATGTACTGTTTTGCAATTTGTTATCTGTATGTCATTTATTTCTGTATTTTGTACTCAGCACTGTGAATCCTTTTTGTCAGATTAAATGTTTACTTAATCAGCTTGTGTCTCTGTTCTCTATGAGCTTCACTCTCCAGAGGAAAGCTCAGGTAAACACGTTACCAAAAAGGGTTAACTATATATGTTTTATCAGTAAAAGTAGAACTGTGATACTATAATTCTCCTGTGTGTGGGGTAACCTAAGACGCCCGGGTTTAAAAGTCTTGGTGGTGGCAGTAAAGTGTGTACTAAGGGGTTAGTGTAGAAGGGATTGCAGGGGTTAATTGAGTGGTTGCTGGGACTAGCAACAGGTAACCAGGGGTCTGGTGTCATTAACCCTGTCACTTCCACACTCTCCCCACTGTCTGAGCTGGGCCTATAGCCCACGCACGTGACAACAAATATTAGTGGTTCAAAACAGGAAAATGTATCACAACACTTTCATCAGTAAAAGTGCTGTTTGTCTGTGAAAAATGCAAAAAAAGTCACTTTCACTGACAATATCATCGCTGTGATATGTTTTACTGTTTTGAATCACTAATATTGGTGTTCAGCGAAGTCTTCCGAGTTAAACAGTACCCCCCATGTACAGGTTTTAGGGTGTCGTAGAAAGTTACAGGGTAAAATACAATGCTAGCAAATTAAATTCTCTGTACTTTTGGCCTGGGTTGACAGACAGGTCCCTCAAATTGCAATCAATAAAATTACTTAAATTATGTAAAAATATTACATAAATACGCACGTAGAATTTAAATATATATGCATATTTATATAATTATGTATATGGAATATATACATATATACATATATATACATACATACATATATATATATATATATATATATATATATATATATATATACATACATACATACATACACACACACACACACACACACACACACACACACACACACACACACAATGTCATTCTAAGTGTATTTTGATATAAATATAATCTGTCTAGGCTGCAGGCAGTCTCCCCACACCGGGAGCACCGCCGATCGCCGCCGGGGGAACGTCGGCGATCGGGTAAGTACATTACACCATTAGGACCGTCAGCGGTCGGCAACGCAAAAATGCCGATGACGGTCCTGAACCATCCTCGGTCCTTAAGGGGTTAAGCGTGGTAGTATCCGCGGCAAAGAGGAGGGTGGTATGAACAAGAGGTACCTGTGACTAGTCCTGATACCAGCAGTGAACAAAGAATCAAGTCTTTATTGACAGGTAGTGAGTTTGGATAACGTATGATGGTCTTGGTCGAGTGAAGCCGTGGCCTAACGAAGCAAGGCGGGAATCAAGTCTCCGTTTCCTGATACCCCGTTTATAGATGAAGCGTGGCTGTGTAGAGGCAATTAGTAGAGAGAGATGTGAATGATTTTTTTATACCTGGTAGGAAAACAGGAGAAAACACCGAACCGATAACCCAGCCTATAGGGTAGAATGACCTTCAGGAAATCTGCAGGAAAGTATATCCTAATGATTGTAAAAAATGCCATCCAAATCAGGATAGTAACCCCTTCTACATGCATAAATCAACCATAAGTGTAGTAGAATACCTAATTACTAAGAGTAACGAAACAGATAAAATGATAATCTGTATCTTGCATAACCACTATAAGTAACTTGCAGATTATAATTAGTAAATTTAGTCTTAACTTGGAATAACTAGGAGAAATACCCCCATAAACAGTTAGCCAGCTGCATTGGTTTAGCAGTACAAGTGTATTATACAGTGATCTTTCCCATTCACTAACTGAAATCATGTAACAGTAATGTGCACGAATTAGCTATGTTTGATTTAGCCACGAATCTAGTATTGCAGGTCTGGTGAACCGCAATCGTTCGCCTGTTTGTTCGAACATAAGTAGGAAGATATGCCCAAACAGCGGGAATAGCGCAAACGCGGCTTTCCTCGACGATTACCTTGACACTTTGTTTCATTTGTGTGAAAGGTGATTGATTGTAGTTCGTCTGAGTCTGCACGAACGGAAGACACGGAGACTGGTGGGTATTACGAATGGAGGCCGGAAACCGGAAGTACGAGTTTCAGAGGGGGAGTAGCGTTTTATAGGAACACTAACTCCTCCCACAAATACAGGCCTGCGGCTTTAAACACACATATATATATATATATATATATATATATATATATATATAAATATAAAATAGTATATTTTTTACTATTATATATAATTCGGGATTGCACCTAGGCATCTATACTTTCTCTAATATCTTAAAGGAGGAGTGCCCTGCTTATTTATTTTTTGTATATTCCGGCGTATAAGACGACCCCCAACTTTTCCAGTTAAAATATAGAGTTTGGGATATACTCGCCATATAAGACTACCCCTCTTCCAATGCACACCAAATAAAAATTAGCCATGATGTACAGTGAGCAGACAGAGCTACACAGCAAGACATTAAATAATGATAATCTGAAATAGCATTTAAAGCCCAGGTATGTGCCAGGCTGTTTGGGCATATAATCCATGCCTGCTGGTCTAGCACACAGGAGGCTAATTGCGATATATTCTTTTTATCCATTCTTTTTACTCCCCCCCCCCAATCCTCCCTACATTCTTCTCACCTCTTCCCTGTGCAGATATCCCTCCACTTCCTTTCAGTCCGGCCAGGAACAGGTAACTGAATCTCCTGTACCGCGCGGTACCCGGCCGGACTGACAGGACGAAGAGGAGCTCGGCCAGCCACTCTGCACAAGGAAGAGGAGGTGAGAAGAGAGGCAGTGCGGCAGCCGTCTGAGCACTCTCTATAGAGCGCTCAGGCGGCTGCAGCATTAGAAGGGCCGGCGATGGGGGCGCAGGATGCCCCCGGCAGCCATATAGACCCTATACCTGGCGTATAAGACGACCCCCGACTTTGGAGAAGATTTTCCAGGGTTAAAAAGTTATCTTATACTCCAGAAAATACAGTGTGTGTGTGTGTGTGTGTAATTATATATATATTATATATATAGTACACACACACACACACACATATACACACACACATACATATACACACACACCCCCATCATACAGCTAAATGCATATTCATATTCTATACACACACACACACACACACACACCATACCATACACATATATACAATGTATATTGTACATTAAATAAAACTCCACAACTGCTACCTGTCAACCTCCCTTCCCTCACCCTGCCATCTGTCACCTTCCCTTCTCTCACTGCGCCACCTGTCACCCCCCCTCCCCTCAATCTGCCACCTGTCACCCCCTTCCACACACTCTGCCAACACCATCCTCAAACACTGTCACCATCGTCCCACACACACTCTCACCCCCTGATCAGGTCACACTCACCCCTTCCAACACAACCACACTCATCTCCCCTCACCCTGCCATGCTCACCCTATCACATTAACCCCTCTAATCTGGTTTCATTCACTTTTTCTCTCACGGTCACGCTCACCACTCTTCTTCCTGTCACACTCCCTCCTCCAACCATGCCACACTAACCCTGTTGCAATAGCACCTCTAATCCGGTCACACTCAACCGGTCAATAAACCCCCTTAAATCTGTCACATTCACCTTCCTTTTCCCTATCACACTCACTCCCCCAACAATGCCACATTCACCCCAACCATGCCAAAGTCACCCTGTCACGCTTACCTCCCCTCACCCTGTAACACTCCCTCCTCAAACTATCACACTTGCCCTCCCTCATTCTGTTCCACTCACCCCACAACCCTGTTTCATTCACCCCTTTGCCCTGTCACACTCACCCTGCCACAGTTACCCCTTTACTCACCCTGTCACAGTCAACCCTAAAGACAATAATCATACACACAAAGTCATAAAACAGAGCTTTGTCACAGGGGGCGGGGCCTGACTAGCATGGAGGACAGACATGCTTCAGCAGAGCTCTTCAGAAAACATTGCAATTAATGTTGTTTTTAGCCCTAAAAAGCCTGAAACGGACGGCAAAAATAGACTTACTTGACCCACGATTGGGTAGGGAACAGACACTGCAGTCTGTGACCCATCTGAAGCCTGCATGCAGCGTTACTTGCAACATGAGGCCTAGTGCCTGTCGGGCGGGAGAGGCGGCCGATCTCCTGGTCCGGGGCCACAAGATGCCGACACATGACAAACAAGAGCCCCGTTACTCCCCCCCGGACCGTCGGGGGTGATCACGGTCCATACCAGGGAGGCAAACAGTCTAGTGGGAGCGCAGGGTGCGACAACACTGAAGCGCCAACAACTCAGCGCAGCACCCAGCATGGCGGACGCCACGTATCCCCCCCAATCATACAGACCCACAGCATGGGGCCCTACAGAGGCTGGACACAATATTCAACAATTTCTAGCGCAAGCTGGAGGCCAGAACACAGCCACTTGCCTCACGACAGCCAAGCAACCTCCCTACCAAGAAACTGCCTTCAACCCGGAAAAAGGCTCAGTAGGTCGCAACTACAAGTCAGACCTCACGATCACGGCGGAACCAAGCTGCACCACCCAAATGATTCTATGCCTGAACCTAGCTAGCTACAATGTACTACTGACATGGTAGTCCAGTTTAAATTTCTGTGCCTAATCTAGAGGAGTACATGTCAAAATGCATAGCGGTCATATACTCTTTACTCTTGTTAATCTCGCTCACCCCACTGTCAGTTTGAACAGCCTATTTACGTCCAAGCTCCATGTTGTCGACACACTGATATTCAACTATGCTTACTTACACTACTGTGTTTATATCACTAAATATCATGAAGTTTTGCCTTTCACACTTGAAGCACATACCTAGCTAAATGCAAGAAGTGTATATTGCCTGCCAGTAAATTATAAATTGGGAGACTAACTACCTTTGTATAATCTACTAATCGAACCACTATTTACTTATTGTTCTCGAAACCAAAAAATAATAACTGGAGAGGAGATAGAACTCCACAGAGCCCCCTCCCCAGTGCTACATCATACGTAATAAGCTATTATGACTTGCACATAAACCAACTTCAATTTTATTAGTAATCAAAAAAACAGAAAAGAGAAAATACTAAAACTGCTATATAAATCTAAAGGGACCATCTAGTGGGCCTTAAAGTGTGAAAAGTAGTGAAAAGGACTGCTAGGCCTGCTGCTATAGCAAAGAAAATATATTTAACCATATATACCCATGATAATTTCTATGGTAAATAGTTAAACAATGTTGCGACTCACTAGGTATGAGACAATATATGAACTGTCCTGGGAACAGGACACAAGGAACAGGTCCCGCTACAATTGGTGGCAAGCGGCGGGATCATTCCCACAGCCCAGAAGGACAGCTACAGAGCAAGCATGGCACCCAGTTACACAAGAGGAGTTTGACGCTATGTTGAAGAGTCTGCTGGCTTTCTTCGGACCCAATCCAGAGATAAGTACAGAGCACGAGGAAAGGAGTGGCAGAGTACCTGCAGTTCAAAGCAGATTTGGCCAAAAGGAAGCCCCAGGGAGCCGAAGGTGCCGTCCTTCCTCCCCAGCGGCAGAGTGTGCCCTTAGGAGAGGAGACAGTTGGTCCCTCTCCCCAGCAGTCCAGGGAGCCCAAGGGAGCCAAAGGTGCCGTCCTTCCTCCTCAGCGGCAGTGTGTGTTACAGGGAGAGAAGCACCCAGTCCTTCTTCCTCAGCGGCAGTGCCAAGTGCAGGGAACGGAGACAACCGGTCTCGTTCCCCAGCGGCAGTGTGAGTTATCAGGAGAGATAAACACAGGTACGGAGGGTATCGGGGCTGGGACTGCGGTCACCACGGGCACCCAGCAGGTAGAAGAATTGGCTCCTCCGACTCTCCCAGGAGCGGAGTCCAGAGGCCTGGGTCGGGTCAGCAGGTAGCAAGTGAAGCTACAGTGGCCGCTACCCCTTTCCCTAAGGGTGCTCCGGCATCAGAGCAGAGTGCACCTCGCCTCTGCTCGCTCCTTCCTCAGGAGCCAGTTGGTGTGGAGGCGCGGGCCTCTGGGCAGAGTGCAGGTAGCCTCTGCCCACCCCAAGGGGGGGCCGAGGATGGGACTCAGGTCGCCACGGGCCCCCAGAAGGTAGAAGAGTCGGCTCCTCCTCTACTTCGACACTGCGGCTGGAGACTAAGTTCCGTTCGAAGATTCGAACGCTCGTTTGAATGGGACTTGGTCATTTTCTCAGTGTAAAATAGACCGACCGCACAGCCCAAAACCATGGAACTGTTTTGGGCATGAAAATGTGCTTGCGGTCAGTCAAAATTGACTTATATCTATCTCCCGAACGGCTGAACGGATTCAAATGATTTTTGGGTACGTTTGTATTTGAAATGTGCTGATTAATAATACGTGACTATTAATATTGGATGTATAGTTTTAGAGTTATGAAAGTTGGGTAAAAAGTATGTTTTAAACTGTACGGCTAATTGTGTTGCTTCTCAGGCTGAGGGGAGGGAATCTGTGGGTTGTAACCATTGTTTGATTGGCTAATGTATAATTGTCTGTGGGCGTCTCCCTTGCATGGGAGAATTGCATAAAAGCAGAGTATGTGTCATTAAACCAGAGTTCTTCTTCACCCTCAATCTAGAGTCCTGTCTCTTATTGGGGGAATTGCTATATCACTACAAGGGATTGCTATGCTCTGCATGCTCCCTTGGATAATCACGTCAATGCTCTTAAGAGCTTGTTCCGGTCTTGCTCTCTGAAGGAGTCTATGGTGGTTATGGTGTCGGTTGGAGTGCTTGGAGCCCTCTGTAAGCGCTAGGAGCATCCTTCAAAGGAGGTACCCAGTCGGGGTGCCATGTGATCCGTTACAAAAGGAAGCTGTAATCATTAAAGAGTGTGACTCAGCCTGGTGAGATGCCAGTGTTTAAACCTCCAAACTGTGTCAGCCTTTTTCATGGAGGGAGGAAGATTTTAACCCCTGTGTCTGCGGTTTCAGCTTACAGGGAATTCAGGAGATTTAACCCCTGTGTCTGCTGGTCCAGCTTGCAGGGAGATGAAAATAGGGGAAAAGTCCTGAGAGTGTTGTCTCAGCCTGGGAACAGGACACAAGGAACAGGTCCCGCTACACTCCCCCCTCCTCCCCCTCCCCCTCTTCTTCTTCCTCCCCCCTCTTCTTCTTCTTCCTCCCCCCTCCTCCCCCTCTTCTTCGTGTGTATATGTGTGCATGTATTAGTGTGTGTCTGTCTTCTCAGATATTTTGTGATAGGATTGAAATAAAAAATGTATACTGTAAAGTTACTAAATAGCAGATGTGACTCCATTTTGTAACAAAATGCAGAGAGACATTTTTTGTTTCATTGAATAAATAAATTCTGGAATGCAGGCTAATGTAAACCTTAAGTGGGAACAAGGGGGGTTGAAAGAGCCCAGCCCAGACACAAATAGATATACACAGTATAATAGAAAAGACAAAGTGGAAACACCTCCCAAATACGTGATAATATATGCATAAATACAAATAACGTGAGATATAGGTAGTAATTCGCAAACAGAATCTGTATGAAAAATTAAAAAACTAACATAGCGTAATACAGTACTAAGTAAGTGAGTGGTATGTTAGTGAAAATAAGTGCACTCACAAACAAAATATGAAACCAGGCTTCTCACCCTCCAAAGGGTAGCAATCTTAGTGAGTAGTCCTCCTCCGTAGGATATATAAAAGAATAGGAAACAAATATAGTGAAGAATGTAATTATATTACAAAATCGTATTTATTGGTCTCACTTACAAGTGAAGAAAACTAGCAGGCATATCTCCAAATAACATGGGACTCCCAGAACGATGTAAAAAAAGTCCAATAGAAGATCCAATGGAACAGGCAGGATACAGTTGAAATAAAATTAAAATAAATATAAAAACTACATATAGAATATAGAAACAAATAGCATATATAAGCTCAAAATGTCTATCCAACGCGTTTCGTCTGACAAAAAAGGGACTTCCTCTTGAAAAAGTCGATCGGACGAAACGCGTTGAGCGGTGAAAAGCTTGCCAGTGTCTCCAGCATTCCCAGTATTTTTCGGATCAGATCCAGCTTGAATTACTACTGAGTCTCTGGAACTTTGAAAACTTGGATCCTGCAGTGAGAAGGGGACTTTAGCCCAGGAAAGGGCTGACAAGCCTTTTTAGCACAATTAAGACATACGTCCTTGTTGTGCAACTACATTTGTGAGTGTATTTGTTTTTTTTTTATTATTCTGTTTTACCTGTTATTAAATACTTCACTATATATTTCTGTTTTTATCTCTTTACATGAATACCCATGAATACTATGTGGTAAATATATTCACATGTTTGTGACTGTGGCGCCCCCGGTGGTATATGTTTTTTAACTATATGGTTTTAAACTATACTTATTTTGTTATTTGGAGATATGCCTGCTAGTTTTCTTCACTTGTAAGTGAGACCAATAAATACGATTTTGTAATATAATTACATGCTTCACTATATTTGTTTCCTATTCTTTTATATATCCTACGGAGGAGGACTACTCACTAAGATTGCTACCCTTTGGAGGGTGAGAAGCCTGGTTTCATATTTTGTTTGTGAGTGCACTTATTTTCACTAACATACCACTCACTTACTTAGTACTGTATTACGCTATGTTAGTTTTTTAATTTTTCATACAGATTCTGTTTGCGAATTACTACCTATATCTCACGTTATTTGTATTTATGCATATATTATCACGTATTTGGGAGGTGTTTCCACTTTGTCTTTTCTATTATATGTAATTTAGGTGTCAGTGAGGTACACCTGGTATCTCTCCCTTATATATGATCTTTATACAATTATAGTGTGTATACTTTATTGTTCTTGTTTAGATATACACAGTATGTATGTATGTATATTTATGGCTTGGCCTGTAATTGTGGGAGGTACATGGAACCCTACTTAAACCAGTGAGCCCCTGCTTACCCGTCGTCGACGATCTCGGAAGTGATTCTGTTTACTTCCGGTTCACTGGACCCCGACGTAATTTTCCTGCCCGCCGGCAGTCCGTTTGCAAAAAAACTCTCTCTGCTTACGGAGTTCGTGAGTATAACAAGGGAAGCCAGCATACGAACAGCTAACCGTAAGTTATACTCTATCATTTCGCGACCCATACTTGTCATCAAACTCACACGTTCGTTGAAAAATATTTCATTCGGCTAAATCGCTCATGTTAATCTTTCATCTACATACCGCTACAATTCGTGCTAACCGGCGTTCGTCTAAAGTTATCCGTGCGTATAAACCCTTATGTTTACCCATCAGTATACACATAGCAGTCGTTCGTGTCAAACACACTTTCGTACAAACTTCCCTGCTGCTGCCTCACTGCTCCTGTTCCGTTTTTTTTTTTTTTAAAGCTTTTCTTAAGGCATATAATTTTTGACATATAACTTGTAGAAAAAGTTTTTTTTTATTTCAGAGCTAACGCTCAGCTTCCTCTCAGCCTGTTACACACAGGTGCACAGCCCGACTGCCGCTCACCGTGCTTCCTGTCTGCTGCTCACTTTTCTCCGTTCTCAATTATGCAAGTGGTTTTTCACAAGGTTTTCACAAGCTACAGCTACAGCTCAAGCCTCTCTTTTGATGATTAATTCCACTATTATATCACCATATCTCCACACTACTCCACGTCTGTGCCGTTTTCTATGCAAAGTTCCTGCTTCTTTTCAGCCTCAGCGAGTTGGAGCTGGATTGCAAGCTCCTACTCCATGCGACCGCACCCGACCTCACACAGATGGACGGAAGTCAGACACGCCCCCGGTCACCAGAGGGGGACCAATAAACTTTCCTAATCTACAATGCTACCTGTCTACTCATCCTTCTTTATGTCTGGTAGAATTTCTCACGTCTACTAACGGGTTTTACACAGGGTTTGTGTCACTCCACATATTTATTTTGAAACACATCCTACAGTCAGCACTCACAGTTCCCATCAGAGTACAAAACTCTTACTTAGTGAAATCACCAACGGTTTCTTGATAGGGCCTACTACTTTTTCATCTCCTGGAGGACAAAATCATTCATTCCGGGAAGGCTGCCTGGTTATGTAAATCAGAATTTACTAACACGTGTAAATTACTACCCATTCTTCAGTCAATCTGGCATCTACATGGAGTTAAGTGGGAAGACAGCCACTATTTCGTTACCAGACTAACATTCTTCGCCAAAATCTTAAACCTGGCTCCTACGGAACATATGCAGATGTCCAGTAGTCTTACACTACTGAGACAACTTCCTCACCATTGAACCACACCAAAGCACGCCACACAGCCTGAATCACATGTTCACTCTGTTCAAAGATTACGAGTACCCGCAGCCCGGACAAAACACAGATCAAATTCCCGGGGTTTACACTCTGTTCTATTTCCATGCAGGCCAACCTGCCACAAGTGTAAGTAGATAGAATTCTTTCTTACATCAACATCTGCACGTCACAAGACACTTGCACCAGTAATGAGCTACAGTCACTACCCAGTTCACTCAATTTTGCGGGGAGAATAATTCCACAAGGTAAGTCTTTAATTTCCAGAATCCTCTCTCTCGCATGGCCTCTCTGTCGACGACTCCACAGCTCTCTTAGACAAACCAGCTAGAGCGTCTGTTCCTGTCCTCTTGGAATGGCAGGTCACTACTTGTTCCCCGTGTTTCTGACGATTCCCCTGTGGTCCGGACTGACGCATCAGGTGCCGTAGATTATGCATTCCCCACTAGTAGCTTTTCAAGGGAAAGCCCTAACCAATAAACATTTTATGCTTTACAGTCGTACAATATCACTCCGACTAGGACATAACCCTCATTCCTTCTCGGGCCATTTATTCCTCATTGGAGCAGGCACAGCTGCCTCCGGTAATCACGTACCAACTCACATCATTAAAATATGGGTCAGGGGAAATCATCTGCATACAACAAATATCCCCAATCCTGAGAAAGAAATAAGATTGGCATTCTGTGAAATGTCTAAATAATGATCTGCTGAATAAACATATCTGACTTGTAAGAATTGCTTCTTATATTCTTGCCCTCTTTTACAGGTCTAACCTCACGTCAGTTTCGGCACACCTCAAATGACTTTGCTCTTACTACTATCGCTTCTTTATTATTGTTCCTGACGTCCTTGAAATGTTCCGAACACACACACACACACACATATATATATATATATCCTCAACATATACTAACTATAATTCTGTTTAATCATATATAAATAGTATTTATTTATAGTAAATATTGAATATTCATAGATAGAATCCCAATGAATAAATTTCAATATTGTTAAACTAATATTAGCTGAATGTGTGTAAAAGACATGTATACATCACATGCGGTCACATTACTAATAGACACATAGTTTCACACTATGAGACAGTGTAACTAAGAAAACCAGACACAGGATTACCAGAAAGATATTACCCAAGTAATTAAATTTTAGTTTTTAAACTTAATGGATCCCTACAAGAAACCATTGTTTGAGAAAGTTGAACCAAAGTCCAGATGCGTCAAAAGTCATACTTTATGGCCAAAAAGGAGGCGGCCACTCTATTAAAAAAGAACAAAATTTCTTTGAAGTCTGACAGTTACTTCGATGAAAGGTACCCATAAAGAAAAGATTTGTGATGTCAAATGCATCACGAAATTCAATTAACCCCTTATACAAAGTGGTAGTTGGAATTCATAATGAGAAATTCTTGTGAAGCTACAACGCCATCTATTGATCAAAGTCTATAAGACAAGCAGTAGAAGACGGTACACCCACCTAATCCCTATGGTCACTTTAAATTGGTAACGTAAAGAAACTTAAGATAAGGTTTTCTTTAAAAATTGAGGATAGTCAGGAAGACAGGAGAGACAAAAAAAAGAATGAGTCGAGCACTGGGCGATAAAGACATGAAGCAGGAGTGCTAAGCCTACAAACTGTGTGTGTGTATATATATATATATATATAAATATATATATATATATATATATATATATATATATATATATATATATATATATATATATATATATATATATATATATATATATATATATATATATTCAGGCATGACCAGCACTCATGGTTTTGATAATGTTTAAAAAGTTATAAGTTTAATCCATTAGTATTAAAAAAATTGACAGCTCGACGTTTCGGTCCTCTTGTGGGCCATTGCCGCCACCATGGATGTACCCGAAATCTGCATATACCACCTATCCTCAAAACGAAAGTAGTTATTGTTTAACACCAGGGCAAGTAGCTCGAGTACAAACTCTATAGGTGGTCCTTGATAAGATGTAGATGACGTCAGGACTGTTCTCATGGCTTCTATGCCTTGTTTATGTGGGATTACCGTATATAGACTACCCACATCCATAGCAATGAGTATTGTAGTATCCTTTTTCAGATCAAGTTGTTTCAGCTTTGTAATGAGGCTGGGCGTATCTTTTATACAAGTATTGAGCTTGGAATAGTGAGTCAAGCCATTTGGCAATTGGTTCTAGAAGTCCATCTATCGCCGAAACAATGGGTCTTCCAGGTGGTTTAACTGGGTTCTTGTGAATCTTCGGAAGTGTACAGATAATGGGAGTACGGGGTTGAGGTTTCAAAAGATATTGACTCAATTGTGTATCAATCCAACCGGATTCCACACCCATTTTAAGGATGATTTCCACTTTCTTCTTGATCCTATCCGTAGGATCACCCAATAATGGTTGGTAGATTGTAGCATTCTGTAATTGCTGCTTGATTTCTCCTGTGTAGTATGAATAATCCATGATGACAATCCCTCCACCTTTATCAGCCGGCCGGATGATAGAGTGATCGTTGGCTAAATTCTTAATGTATTGGGACTGTTGAGCTGTAATATTCTTGTATTTACACCTATGAGTGCCAATGGCTTCCTGTGCAAGATGATCAACAATAGAGAGATAGGTTTTAATTGATGCCTTATTTGTATATGGATCAAAGCTAGATTTAATCTTAAAGCATGAGGACCCAGTTTGAGTGGTAGAGATTGATCTCTCAGGATTGTTGAAGAATTCTGCTCTACTAGAGTTGGTCTTCCCTGTCACTTTCCACGACGCATCTCCAGTGATCACAAAAATCATCAAGGATAATTGTAAAATGTTGGCATGTGACGACACACTCCCCAAAGTTTTTAAGGAACCCCCTCTCATATGCTATCGAAGGAATAAGAACTTAAGGAATCTTTTGGTCCATACGGACCCTACAAAGAGCTATGAAAGAAATATTGAAATACAGAGTCGGGGTAGCATTGTCGCGGTAGTTTACCCCAACACGCAAGATTTAGTCCAACAATCGACAGAGCAGATACGTCTTACCGGACCTTAGAATGGCCGGACTCGACGTAGAGCAGAGAATAGACAGAGTCAAGAACAAGCAAAGGTCAAGGGAACAAAGAGACTGCGAGAACAAAAACTAGCCAAGGTCTGGTACACAGTAGTCAGAAAGCCAGCAAACAAGACAAAACAGGGATAGAGAGATAAACGGAGTCAGATACAAAGCCAAGGTCAAGCATGAAAATCACAACTGAACACAACAAGCGCTAAAGGGAACTGAAACAGAAACCACAATAGGGCAGGAAGTTAAGGGAGAGGTAAGTATAAATACCCTAACCTTTACTCTGATTGTCCCCTGTCATATCCACGCCCCCAAAATGTGAGTGTATGGGGAATGTGGGATGACACGGGCCAATGGGAGACCGTTGTATTTTTTGGCTCCCACTGCCCCTTTAAGAGCGTGCCCGAAACGCGCGGCACGCTCTTAGAGCTAGGCGGGACACGTGACTGTATCTCGCGGTCCGTGCCCGCCTTCATCCGAGAGCCGTGCGCGGCGGGAAGAGAGGACCTCGGCCGGCCCCCAGGTAAGTTAAGTACCGCTATAGTACCCCCCCCGAAGACATGCCCACCGGGCGGGGAGGACCAGGCCTGGCAGAAAACGAGAATGAAAGGAACGCACAAGGCGAGGAACATGAACAACGTCAGCGGAAAGCCAACTACGTTCCTCAGGCCCATAACCCTTCCAATGCACCAGGTACTGGAGGTGACCCCTGAGAAAACGAGAGTCAAGCACAGCCGCTACTTCGAATTCCTCATGACCCTCCACAGAAACAGGAGGGGGAGGAGGAACATGCCGGGTATAGCAGTTACACAGGAGGGGCTTCAACAAGGAGATGTGAGAGACGTTAGGAATACGTAGGTTCCTAGGAAGATTCAAGGCATATGAAACAGGATTGACTCTATGCAAAATACGAAAAGGACCAATAAAACGGGGAGCCAACTTCATAGAAGGCACACGAAGGCGGATATTGCGAGTTGAAAGCCAAACCCTATCCCCCACGACATAGGATGGAGCCTCCCTGTGATGCTTGTCAGCTTGAACCTTTTGGCGAGCAGCGGAGTCCACCAAAGAATGCTGAACCTGCTCCCAAGTAGTACGTAAACCAGCCAAATGTTCATCCAGAGCTGGCATGCCCTGTAAGAAGAATGCAGCTGGAAGAACAACAGGATGCTGGCCATAAACAACGTAGAAAGGGCTTTTACCAGAAGATTCATGAGCAGCATTGTTACGAGCAAACTCAGCCCAATGAAGAAGGTCAGCCCAATTGTTCTGATGGTGGGATACGAAACAACGAAGATACTGCTCTAGGGACTGGTTGGCACGTTCAGCAGCCAGTCTGGGTGTGGTAAGCGGAGGAAAACGAGAAAGAAATACCCATCTCTGAACAAAAAGCTTTCCAGAATCTGGAAATAAATTGGCTACCCCTATCGGATACAATTGATACAGAATACCAAATACGAATACGAAAAACAGATACAGATCCGAAATACAGATACGAAAAACCTCCCTGGCGAAGATATAAGCAAGTTCCTTCGATGAGGGCAATTTAACAAGAGACACAAAATGAGCCATCTAAGAAAATCGATCCACTATCATCAAGATGACTGTTTTGCCATTCGAAGGAGGCAATTCAACAATAATATTCATGGATAGATTGGACCAAGGCCTCTCGGGTATGGGCAACAGGTGCAACAACCCACAAGGAACCCTATGAGAAGACTTCATACTGGCGCAAGTAGTACATGCCCAAACGTAATCGGTGACATCCTTGCGTAAGGAAGCCCACCAAAAATATCTAGAAACTGCTGTTAAGGTTTTAGAAATACCAGGATGTCCAGCAGTTTTGGTGTCATGATATAACGACATAATGTCTCGTCTTTCGGGAATGTCAACAGACAGTTTATCAGCAGGTTTCTCACTGGGTGCCATGTTTTGTTTAGCCTCTATAACTTGTAAGAGTGAAGAAGAAACAGATAGAACTGTAGTAGCTATTATTCTGTCCGGGGGAATGACAGGGGTATCGTCAAATTCTTGTTTGTCGGTAGTTTCAAATTGTCTGGACAGAGCGTCGGCTTTAGTGTTACGATCACCTGGTCTGTAGGTGATGATATAATTGAAATGAGATAAGAAGAGTGACCACCTGGCCTGCCTAGAAGACAATCTTTTGGCTTCACTAAGGTAGGAAAGGTTTTTGTGATCAGTAAAAATGAGGATGGGGTCCTTAGTACCCTCCAAAAGATGTCTCCACTCCTTAAGTGCTAAAACAATAGCAAGGAGTTCTCGATTGCCTATGTCATAATTCTTTTCGGCTTTGGACATCTGCTTGGAAAAGAAGCTACAAGGATGTAATGGCTTATCAGGTGATTCTCTTTGAGATAAGACAGCACCCACCCCAATATCAAAAGCATCAACTTCAAGAATATAAGGGAAAGAAGGAACAGGATGCTGTAAAATAGGAGAAGAGGCAAAAGTAGTCTTAAGAAATGTAAAAGCCTCAAGCACCTCTGGGGACCAGACACGAGTATTACCATCCTTTTTAGTCATACGGGTTATAGGCGCTACAATAGAAGAAAAAACCTTTAATAAAGCTTCTATAATAGTTGGAAAAACCAAGAAAACGCTAAATGGCTTTCAGGCCCTGAGGTAGAGGCCATTCCATGACAGCAGAAAGCTTCTGAGGATCCATACGAAAACCCTTAGCAGAAATTAAATAACCCAAAAACTGGACTTCGGATTGATCAAATAAACATTTTTCTAATTTACAATAAAGACCATTAACAAGATGAGTTTTCAAGACTGTTTTAACATGCATGTGATGAGTATGTAAATCTGTTGAATATATTAATATGTCGTCCAAGTACACCATCACAAATGAGTGAATGAACTCTCGTAAGACGTCATTAACAAATTCTTGAAACACTGCTGGGGCGTTACAAAGACCAAATGGCATCACAGTATACTCGTAATGACCACTCCTAGTATTGAATGCAGTTTTCCATTCATGGCCCTTTTTTATACGTTTGAGATTGTACACACCTCTAAGGTCCAGTTTAGTAAACACAGTAGCTTGTTTAAGCCTGTCGAATAATTCCGTGATTAATGGTATAGGGTAAGCATTTTTTATGGTGATTTTATTTAGACCCCTATAATCAATACAAGGTCTTAAATCGCCCTCCTTCTTTGACACAAAGAAGAACCCTGCCCCTGCCGGAGAAGAACCCTGCCCCTGCCTTATAAATCCCTTTTGTAGAGATTCTTTAATATATTCCTCCATGACACGGTTTTCTTGAGGAGACAAAGGATACACCCTGCCTTTGGGAGGTATAATGCCAGGCAGTATTTCAATTGCACAATCGTAGGGTCTATGAGGCGGTAATTTTTCAGCCTCCCCTTTATCGAAGACAGACTTAAGACACATGCACTGAGGAGGTATAACAGACAAAGGAGGAGTAGTAGGAACATTAATAGAATTTAAAGGGGTGATTTTAACGATACAAGACTCTTGGCAGGTTTCAATCCAAGATACTATTTGTCCTGACTCCCAGTCAAAAATGGGATTATGAGAACGTAACCATGGGTACCCTAACACAATGTGAGAGGAAGGAGAGGTGATGACCTGAAACTGAATGGTTTCTGAGTGTAACATCCCTGTATACATATGCAACGGTTCAGTTCATGTGTGACAACTGGGGAGCATAATGGTCTACCATCTATGGCCTCAACGGCCAAGGGTGTCTTCTCTCTAATGGGTATGTTGTGTTCCCTAACAAATCTAGAATCTATGAAATTCTCAGCTGCCCCGGAATCAACCAGGGCTAGAATGTTTCTTGCTATGCAATTATTCTCCAGATGCAGAAAAACAGGGAGAAGTAGTCAATTAAGAGGCAATTTTGGGGACTTAGATATCACACCCAAGGCCAGTCCCCTATATGGCCTTAGGTGCGATAGTTTTCCGGAAGCACGGGGCATTCTTTTAGCATATGGCCCTTCTTACCACAGTACAGGCAAAGTCTCTCCTTTCTTCTATACAATTTTTAAGCATCAGAGAGTTTGGCAACCCCTAATTGCATGGGTTCCTCCTCTGATACCTTGGAACTCTCAGGATTAGCAACTCTAGGAGTATTTAATGTAGCAAAACGTCTATTCCTATTCTTAGTATACAGTCTATCACGAATCATATTGTCTATATCAATGAGATAGTCGATAAGGTCCTCTAATGGGATAGGAAGATCCCTAGCTGCTACCTCATCCAATATAGTATCAGATAGACCTTCCATAAATGCTGTAATTAGCCCATTGTTGGTCCAATCTACCTGCGAAGCAAAGGTACGAAACTGAATAGCATAATCAGCAACAGACCTAGAACCCTGTTTAATTCTCATTAATGCCCTGGCGGCATTTTTTGACCTTTTAGTTGTGTCAAAGGTTCTACGAAAAGCCATAAGGAAGCTATTGAAATCATGCACCATAGGCCCATTAGCCTCCCAAATAGGATTTGCCCACTCAAGTGCTTTATCAGTAAGTTGGTGCATAAGGAATCCAACTTTAGATCTATCAGTGGGAAAGGAACGTGGATACATCTCAAAGTGGAATTCCACTTGATTCCCCTGCATGTCTTAGCATCCCCTCCATACCTAGGTGGAGGGGTTAAATGTGCAGAAGCATTAGGTATGGTGGATACATCTGGAACAACGGGTGCAGTAGGAGTTGGTACTCTTACCGGAGTAGTTCTAGATAAGAGTGTCTGGAGGGTCTGAGCTATCTGATCCATACGGTGATCCTGCTCTGTAAATCTAGCCTCATGAGAAGCCAATTGCTGACTTAAATCTGCGGGTCCATGGCCCTATCGTAATGTCACGGTAGTTTACCCCAACACGCAAGATTTAGTCCAACAATCGACAGATAGAGCAGATACGTCTTACCGGACCTTAGAATGGCCGGACTCGACGTAGAGCAGAGAATAGACAGAGTCAAGAACAAGCCGAGGTCAAGGGAACAAAGAGACTGCGAGAACAAAAACTAGCCAAGGTCTGGTACACAGTAGTCAGAAAGCCGGCAAACAAGACAAAACAGGGATAGAGAGATAAAACGAAGTCAGATACAAAGCCAAGGTCAAGCATGAAAATCACAACTGAACACAACAAGCGCTAAAAGGAACTGAAACAGAAACCACGATAGGGCAGGGAGTTAAGGGAGAGGTAAGTATAAATACCCTAACCTTTACTCTGATTGGCCCCTGTCATATCCACGCCCCCAAAATGTGAGTGGGGCCAATGGGAGACCGTTGTATTTTTTGGCTCCCACTGCCCCTTTAAGAGCGTGCCCGAGATGCGCAGCACGCTCTTAGAGCTAGGCGGGACACGTGACCGCATCTCACGCTCTGTGCCCGCCTTCATCCAAGAGCCGTGCGCGGAGGGAAGAGAGGACCTCGGCCGCCCCCTGGGTAAGGTAAGTACCGCTACAAGCATCCGGTGTCTGGGTTGTGTTACCTGTGGACATATGACTCCATCTCGTACTTTTCAGCATCCACATAGGAATAAGACTTTCCAGATACGCTTTACGATTACCTGTAAGACTCCTTATGTGATCTACAAGTTGTCTTGTCCATGTGGACTCTCATAGATCGGTAAAACTGAGACTCCTTTATGTGAGAGAATTAGGGGGCATAGGTCAAGTATAAGGGTGGCCTATCGTGATGGCACCTCTGATCAACCTGTGGCCAAACATTGTCTTGCTTTTCAACATCCTCTTTCAGCCCTCAAATGTTTGGCTATAGACCACATCCCTCCGCCTAAACGTGGTGGGGATAGAGGCAAACTTCTCCTGACACTATAGCCCCTAAAGGACTGAATGAGATGATTTCATATCATTCATTAAGTCACTTGTAACATTTGATTTTAATTGTTATGCTTTGTTCTATATTTTATGATAACTATGTCTTCTAACATATTTACGCATAATATGCTTTAATGTGTATGGTTTGTATAATTTATTTTTCTTTCTAGATTCCTATGCCTGCCCTTCCTTGATACACAATATACAACTGGTGTATATTTAGCACTTTTTGTTGAGCACATAATTATAGTCACACTTCAATGTATCTACTATCTATTTAATGGATGTTCATTTGCACTTTAATTGTTAATTCTCTCTCTTTATATGCTATTGCACCTTATGGTAAACTGCACTCATTCACTTTACCTCTTTAACTTGACATAGCACCTTTATGAGAAATAATCCCGTCTCCCTTGTAGCACTTATCAAGCACTTGCTTTAATATAGGAGACTTCGTCTCTATATATAAGGCCCGTCTACATAGATATAATCATGAATAATGATATTACACACAAGGATGTTATCTAGTGGGACTAGATTATATCTTCATTATGCACATTTCTACCTTTGAGGCACTTTAAATAACTCGTTGGTTTGTATAGGATCAGGCACTATATTCTTTTTCACAGTATGCGTCCAGGTTGCCATGGAGCTCCGGTTTTGTTTCCTGTCCCCATGGCGTTGGTTTGTATAGGATCAGGCACTATATTCTTTTTCACAGTATGCGTCCAGGTTGCCATGGAGCTCCGGTTTTGTTTCCTGTCCCCATGGCGTTGGTTTGTATAGGATCAGGCACTATATTCTTTTTCACAGTATGCGTCCAGGTTGCCATGGAGCTCCGGTTTTGTTTCCTGTCCCCATGGCGTTGGTTTGTATAGGATCAGGCACTATATTCTTTTTCACAGTATGCGTCCAGGTTGCCATGGAGCTCCGGTTTTGTTTCCTGTCCCCATGGCGTTGGTTTGTATAGGATCAGGCACTATATTCTTTTTCAAGGTATGCGTCCAGGTTGCCATGGGGCTCCGGTTTTGTTTCCTGTCCTAATGGCGGCGGACGTCACGTAATCACGCCAACGTAAGGCGGAGCATGTACACGCATGCGCACAGGACACTTTGGGACGCGGGCGGTACTCTGAATTAGATACAACGGTGGGTAAGCTAATTTTCTCTGAATTATTTCCTTTGTATATATGTGTATTTGTTATATATGATTATTATTCCTGATGAAAGTCCCACAAGAGGACTGAAACGTCGAGCTGTCAATTTTTTTAATACTAATGGATTAAATTTATAACTTTTTAAACATTATCAAAACCATGAGTGCTGGTCATGCCTGATATATCGATATCTGATTTTTCCCTGGATTACAAGCACCAGGTATGTACTTTTTGAGCTTGAGTGCAAGGAAATACACATATGCTACATATACATATACATATATATATACACACACACACACACACACACACACACACGTATAACATGGCATGTATTTCGCCGTCGGAACCCACTTCCGGGTTCACGGCGCTTAGCCCCGCCCCTTTTTTCTGACGCGGTCCCTCCACGATATTTAGGAAGACCGCGCCAGATTCAAAGGGCTGGATTATTCGCACAGGTGCTGCAGAGAGATCAGCTGCTCTACTTTGATCCTACCTGCTCCACTTCTAGACCTCGGCTTGTAAAACGGATTTCTACCTTCTCCACTCCCAGACCTTGGCTTGTTAAAACGGACTTCCACACTCTCCACTCCTAGTTCTCGGCTTGTTAAAACGGACTTCTAATTTCTCCTCCATTGGGTGAATTAACCCTTCCAGTGCCAGAACTGCCTCTAAGTTAAGTAAAACTTTTGCCAAACAAGCCAATTCCTATTATTTATGTTACACAGTATCTAAAGCTCACTAAAGTGTCACTTTGTCAAGCTATTCCTCTTATTCATAAGGGATTGCTACTAAGGCTAATTCTTCCTGCAATAATCAACTTATTCTAATTGCAAGCCTGTCCAGCTTCATTAATAAATTTCTCATAATTTATTCCATCTTAATTAAGTTGGAAACTAGCACTGCTTATTTCCTTGCATGTGTATTTAAAGATACAGTAACCATTGTTTTATATCAGTATAAAAGGAGGTGAAACTTATTGTTGCTGCAATCAGAAAATTCTGCAGTTGAGTTCCAATTAAAGAAGAATTACAAAATAAGTATTACACACACACACACACACACATATATTATATACACACAAACATATATAAAATAAATATATATATGATCTAAGTATAATTGAATATTACACTGTTTTAACATTTATAAAAAAAAAAAAAATTTCCAGGCAGCAGCTGGAGTACCGGTCATTACAGGCACTCTCCCTGCTGGAACTGCCTTGGACGGCTATGCCGAAACGGACGGAGGGGTCTCCCTGGGCTGCCAGGTGAGTCCCCACATCGCGAGCGCCGGCGACTGGGTAAGTACAAAGGACGGCGGGGACGTGCTATGCCGCCCCCCCCCTCCCCCCCCCGTGTTTAGAGCCAGGTCCCCAAGGATGGCATAGCACACCCGCCGTCCTTAAGGTGTTAATGGAATATATCTCCAAGCCTAAAGAATTTCTACCAAGAAAGCTGGTAAATATGCTGGTTTCATTTAATTTAATTGCAATTAATGAATTTTTACTAAAAGCAGAAATATACCTGGATAAGGCTGGTGAGATTTCAAACCTTTGAAATCATAGTCAGCTGAGGAAATATATGGCTCCTCATTCCTTTCCTGCAGGTGGAATAAATTAATATATTTACTTGTAATTTGTAAGTATAGCATATCAAGCTATTATCAAGAGATATTGACTTCTCTGAATTTAGGGATAGTTCATCTTTCCTGATTAATCATCTGCAATGTAAAATTTTGGTTGGATTATTCTTTTGACTTACTAGATGGAAAGAAAAAAGTTAAACGGATTCTTGCGTTCCATATTATTAATTATTTGACACACTAAATTATATTTTTATAACCAGGTTGTGATTAATGTGAAATACAAATTCTCTAATAAACGTATCTCAGGGTCTATAAGAGTTAAAATAGTGGGTAACTCTACGCTTTAAAATCAATCAAGGGGAAACCGTGCCAATATATAAAGCTTTCATATAATAAAAATTAAATACATTTTTGCTACTTTTATGAAAATATAAAATATTTATTACCCCATAAATATCCTCACAGTCTGTGACTGTCAGGATTACTGTTTGATCCAGCACGGATGACAAATAAGTAACGTATTACCGGTCCTTAGAATGGCCGGATTTAACGTACAAAGAATAGTCAAAAATACTAGCCGAGGTCAGGGAACACAGAAAGGGACACAGCGATGAGGAAAGCCAGGAGTCAGGATACCAGAATATAGAGAAGTCAATAAACAAAGCCAAAGTCAAAAACCAGGTAGAAAACTATAAACAGGAACGCGCTCTCGGACAACCACAAGGGAAACCACGACAGGGCACTGAGCAGGCTGAGAACTGGGCCTAAATACCCCTCCTTTAGTTCGGATAGGCTGTAACCGGCCTTTGACCCCAAAGTCAGTTACCAGGTTTCATTTGCAGAATTGCTGCTCAGCATTAACCCTTCTGTGGATTAGGTTGCTGCTTGGCACAACTTTTCCTGTGTGGACAGTAAATGTCATTAACCACATTTCTATAAGCGGATGAATACGTGACAATGACATTGTTTTCTTATCAGTAACTATATTATTTGGTAAATTATTTTTTAAAGCCCAACCAAAATGTTAATTTTGTTTCCAGTAACCCCTTCCCATTGGCACTTATGTATATTTAACACCCAGGCTATACAAGCATACCTCGCAATTGTGTATAAACAATTATTTATTTATAAAATATTTTACCAGGAAAGATACATTGAGATTTCTCTTGTTTTCAAGTATGTCCTGGGTCCACAATTAGCATAATTGCAATTTAAGCCGCGACAATGGAAGCCTCTACAGATGCAACGCTGCAAGCCTGCCCTGCTTTAGATCTACAGCTCCTTTTACACACACCCACGGCCACCCCTATTTTTACCAATGGTGTTAGTGTGGGCCTCGTGTTTGAGTTATGCCTAATGCTTCGCAAAGTCTAGAGCTGCCCCACGGAGTGTGTAAGCACCACCAGTTTTGGACAATGGCTTATTGATGTGAATGGTTTCTACTACTTAGCCCTAACAAGTGGACTTCATTGAGCAACTTTAGCGGAGTTGGCTGAGACAGATTACGAAGGAGGCAAAGAGATAATTTTAGCATAAAACCACTGAAGATTTAAGCCATACTGACGCTATATAGGATATATATAATTATTTAATTAAGTTGATAAGAAGGGAGGTGGATTTGGATGGCAGTTTCATTTCAAATTATCATACCGACTGTATACCCAGAGGTTTCAGGGTCAGGAATGCATCTACTTTTTGCTGGAATAATCCTGATTTTTGTAACAATCATTGTTTATAGGGCAGCAGCACTTTTAAAGCTGGATTTTTAAAAAAAACTGTTTTTACTTCTTTAATTTTGTTGCGCAAGAAGTACAGATGCGCCAGCAATGCCATAACAGTTAATGCAAACACAGTGGTATCAAATATTAACAGTGACATGACAGATTTTCAGCACTGGTTTTGAGAAATAGTAAATTGACAAGGATAACAAACATGTCAGAGGATCAAAGAGATTAAGAGAGATGTAAATAGACATGAGAGTTAATTGTCAGCAATAAAAATCCACTGGTTCTCCTAGCAAGATATTGATTGTGTCGTGTAAAGCTTAGGATACGATTAGGCATTGTAAAGGGAGAGAGGGAAAAAAAAACAAAAAAAAAACTAAAACAAACACATACAGACAAAAAGCAAAACATGTTTAAGGCACAAAATAAATGTAGCTTCAAAATCTGTAGCAGAGAAATCATGAATGTGTCAGCAAAACACAGGAGAGTCCCAGAATACACGGATTAGCGAGCACGCTTCTAGCCGATGCCCAAGTCAGGGAAACATTCGTTATAAAATTTTGGTACTGTTGCCGATGGGGTTCCCCCATGGAGTCCAAACCCCTCTCTGGTCGGTGTTGCTGCTCTCTAGGATGACAGCGCGGGCTACGGCCAGAGCTCGCACCGGCAACCTCGCAGTTCTGTGATCACAAGGATCCTGGAGCAGGCTGGTCGCACTGTGGGTGAAGGGCCTTCCTTTTCCGTAAGCAGCGTGAGTCAGCAAACATACTGCATGCAAAGTGTCGCCATCCACATGGTCAGGATTTTGCGCCTACACAAATGAGGAGGGTGCTTAGGTCAGCAATGACAACCAGCAGGACTGCTCTGGGGTGTCGTAATTTGGGCTGCAGGACTGCAGAGGTAAGCCCTCTAGCATACAGCTTTGCCTTCAGGAGGATCACATCCACATGTACAGATGACTACTCGGAGGTGCCCATGTTTGCAGGTCTTGGTGGGACAACCATTTTGACTGTTATGCCTCAATTGAGTACTAGATTGTGGCTAAATGACTGTGCCAGGGTTTTCAGTAGGGACTGGGATATCCCCCACTGTTCCAAGAGAGGAGACAGGGCACAAAGCAAGCAAGCAAGCTCCAGGTCAAGGTCTGGGTTGGAAACAAGATTTTCACCTCAAAAAGTTAAGTAAAGATCAATTTTAAGCTTTCAAAAAAAGATTCCCTGAGGAGCTCCAGCACCATACAACTGCTTCAGTTGGCTGTCAGACCCCGCTCCTGGCTGCATAACCTTTTAACAAGTCTAAATTTGTAGAAACAGAAACAAAGATATGAAATAAAAGGGTATAATGCAATAAGTCTCGCACGACCATATTTGCTACTATACAACACTTTTGGACTTCTCTACATTCTGTGTTTTTCCATATATTACCTTTTAAAGGTTTCCCGGTGCCCCCGGGCAGAAAGATCCATATTTACGCCTGACTGTTGTCAATATGAGACCATTAGGTAAAAAAAAAAGTGAGTATTTATTTATTCTCTATTAATCGAAAAACAGAAGTACACTTTTAGCATCTTGTTATACTTTTGGATCCTCTAAATATTGAGATTTACAAGCAAGATTGCTCTACTACAATATCCAATAAAGTTAAAGTAAGCATTTGGCGCCATCATGGGGTTGTTTTTGATAACTAATGAATTGATTTTCTATTAGACTTCTTTTTGGGAGTTTTGCGAACATCTTTTGGCTGCATACACATTTTTTTTTATTATACCATTCAAAAAAATTTTTTTTTTACTGTTTTTTTATTGGGAAAATCTATCAGGGCGCAACTATTTTCATTTCATTATTAGACTTGAGCATTAGTTTTCAAATGAGCACCAAACACACAAACAACGCAATGGATAAGCAGGTTTGTTTGATTCATGATACAGAGTTCCATTTCTGGCCCCTATAAGACGCTTAAACATAAGAATAGTCCAGGGTCCTACATAAAATATCCACATGAAACCCCAGGTGCTGGTGACTACAGTCACACCAACACACTCAATCTGTTTCACAAGTGACTGTCCTTCAGCGTAAAACCCCCCCCAAAAAACTATATTATATAAACACACACATACAGTAGGACCTGCCAAAGATGGGGTACATTGACGTTGTGGCAGGCTTATGCAATGTATGATCACATAATGTAACTAAACCCCCATTATTTTTGCCTAGATTAGGTGTACAAAAAAAAAAAAAAAAGTCAACATTGAAGTTACTGTTTAGTGGATAGGTGAGTGCGCTGGATCTTGTGTATTGTATAATATTTATGCATGTTCAGGTGAGTGCAGCCTCCCCCCCCCTTTCATATATACATTTGTGAGTTTAGCCATCTCCTTGGTTTTGCACCCCTCCCTGTCACAGGTGCCTCATCCCAGTGCTGTATTTAGCCTTGTACTGCAGAGAGCCCCAGATGGAATTTTTTTCCCCCAAGTAAGTGGTTAATCTCATAAAAGCAGACCAGGCTGTTAGAGTAGGACCTGCCAAAGATGGGGTACATTGACGTTGTGGCAGGCTTATGCAATATATGATCACATAATGTAACTAAACCCCCATTATTTTTGCCTAGATTAGGTGTTTTAGAAAAAAAATTAAAAAAAAAAAAAAAAAATCTGTCAACGTTGAAGTACAAGTGATACTCAAAAAATTAGAATATCGTGCAAAAGTTAATTTCAGTAATGCAACATAAAAGGGGAAACTAATATATGAGATAGATGCATTACATGCAAAGCAAGATAGTTCAAGCCGTGATTTGTCATAAGTGCGATGATTATGGCTCACAGCTCATGAAAACCCCAAATCCACAATCTCAGTAAATTAGAATATTACATGCAATCAATAAGACTGGGAGTGTACATAGAACAATATCGGACCTCTGAAAAGTATAAGCATGCATATGGACTCAGTACTTGGTTTGGGCCACTTTTGCAGCAATTACTGCCTCAATGCAGCGTGGCATAGAAGCTATCAGCCTGTGGCACTGCTGAGGTGTTATGGAAGACCAGGATGCTTCAATAGCGACCTTCAGCTCTTCTGTTGCATTACTGAAATAAATGAACTGAAATAAGCATCACCTGTATATATAGGACCCTATTCTTCTACCAACTACATGTGCAGGGGTAGCAGGCGTAGTTACACTGAAAAAGACAGCCAGGCAGGGCGAAACCGATTAAATTAACCCTTTAATGATACATGATGAAGATTTTCCGCCAAGCTTGGCCTTCACTTAAGGACAAATGATTGCAAATCTCAGTCATGCAGTATTTTCTTAGCAGGGACTGTTTCTATGCTGGTAACCCCATGTATCATTTGATTTCTGGGGTTCCCCCTGTCACCTGGGGCTAGAATTAGTGGCCACAGACTGACTGATGGCTTGTTGTTTGCAGAACTCAAAGTCAGCACTTCAAACAGGGATTCAAATCACAGTTGTTAAAATGTGGTGTAAACAGGGTTAAATCCCTGCTCACACCAGGAAACCCAGGTGTCATTAGAAACCTGTTGCTCCCCTCTATCAGCTGGTGTTATTTTTAGTGGCCCAAGAGTGACAGATGAGCTGCATGCAGAGCTTAGGCTTTGTCAGCTGCCCAGCAAAATAAATTAAGGATTACAATTGGGATTTATAATTCGGTTTAGAATAAGTATTAGGTTTATTATTAATCTTATGTTTAAGATTCAGCTTAGAATTAACTGTAGTATTGGGATTATGTTTCAAATTTGGCTTCAATTTAGGATACAGATAGGAATCCCACTTCAATTTAGGATACAGCATGGGAATCCCACTACTCACACCAGCAGAGAGAATCCCTCTAACACTATTGCTAGGGTATGGGTTAAGATTAGGGTGACACTTTCATGGCTCAGTTAGTAGAAGCGCCAACATAGAGTGATGAGTGTCTAGATCTTGTCATAACTAATAGTGTTGACTTATCTTCCAATATTTAAGTTAGGGAGCACCTGGGAATTAGTGGAGATTATGGTATAATTTGATATTAACTAAATAAATAAAACTATATAGGTTTTATATAAAAAAAAAAAAAATTATTTTTAAAAGGCTTATTTCAATAGGATAAATGCATCTGTGCAAATAAAATCTGGCAGGATATATTCACTGGCAAAAGTACAGAGGATAAATGGTAGTTCTACAAAAGTACATTTCTCAATACATACCATTGGGAAACAAATATAAAAGAAGAAAATTAAAACCAATGTGGCTTAGTACAAGGGTCAACTATAAGCATGCCATTAGGGCTAACCAAAGGGCAATTAGATTGGCTATGAGATTTTCATTGTCAATTTTAGCCAGAGAGAGCGCGCAAGACCAATCCCCCCAAAATACATTAAAGCCAAAAAGTTAAGAGTGAAAGTGTTGCTCCATTAGAAAGTGAGATGGTGAGTTAATCAAGGAGGATCAAGACAGTGAAGGAATTCTACATTATTTGTTTTCATCAGCATCTATCGCTGCAGATTTGCAAATGCGGATTAGAAAAAATCTTAAGGAAAACAGGTGATTGGTTAACACAGGATAAAGTACTACAACAAGTCAATGTCAACAAAGCCCTAGGGCCAGACACCACTATGATTGCATATGTATTAGGAAACAATGTCATGCAGACATTATTGCAAGACTCTTCTTTATACGAAGGCCCACTTATAGAATTATTTTTTTTTTTTTTTGTTTTTTTTAGAGTGCTTGGACCTGGCTCTAACCAATAACTATTTCAAATTTGAAGAGACTTGACATTAAACAAGCTGAAGCGGTGATTAGTTCAGCCATGGCTCCAACATATGCCAACAGTTTCATGAATATTTATGAGGGAACTAAGATTTAGCAATGTTTTAATTGTTGCTTTTGGCATATTCTAAATTTGTGGACAACATTTATATTGTGTAGAATGCTCAAAAGTGGAATTTGTTGCTTATCATTGAAGACTTGAAAAAGAGGATACCCCTATGCAGTTACGCTTAAAGGGTTTCTCCAACCTTTTAAAATGCATTTTTAAGACATAATACTCCCTGACTGCAAAGCCCACTACCGTAATCCACTTTAAAGAAAAAGGATGAAGGGCTGCGCCAGATAAAAATTACGGCAGTAGATGATAAACATAACTTGTAATTGAACAGGCAGTGCTAAAAAGTCTTGTCCCAACTATGAAAGTTCTCACATACAAAGATGCCTCTTAAGAGGTAGGTGAGGCTGCATATGCTAAATTCTTTGTGCTTGGTCTGAATCTCTTTGGTATCCGTATGTAAATAGAAAAGACAAGGCAAACCAATAGTGCAATATGTCGGAACTCAATATAAAAGGTATATACAAGATAGCGATGTCACACTCATATTTAAAAGAGATAGGACTAGTTCTAGCGCGAATCACGTACTGTGGTACAATTCCCACTTATAGGATATGATGAGGGATGTCCACAGCATTAGGTATCCAGGTACTCAAAAGAGAATAAAATAGCAACACATAGTGCTCTCAATAAGACAAAATTCATACAGAATTATACTCAGAAGAGTAGAGCAGTCTTACTTCTCTATGATGATAGCGTTGGTGGTATGATCCCCACCTGGGATTTCTTAAGAGTAGAGATGATGATAAAAAAAAAAAAAAAAAAAGTGATAAAAATGCCAGGAGGTATGAAATATAAAATATAAAAGGTAATGGCACAATATTGTGATTACCAAAATCCTTTATTAAATAACATACAAAGTAACATCCATAATGCCTTTCATCAAATGGGCTTTTTCAAATTGAGTAAGAATATAAAACCCGGCTAGTTTGAGTTTATATAGGGGAGGGATAGTTTAAAATTGGTGCCAAAATTACTTCATAGGCTGTCCTCAAATAACTAGACAAAGTTAATTTACACAATATAAATAGAAGAAGCAGTGATATTATTTAATAGATATTTAGGTGTAGAAATAAAATAGTTAGCTCTGAAAATGAGCGTTTTGAAGGTATCGGCTATTTAAAGCCAGAGCATGTGACGTGCATCATGTGCTCATTATAGTTTTTCGGCTGCTGAGCCTTACGGGAATTGGAGTCTTCGGTATTGTATTTGCGATGTTGGCAGAAATCTATTATATAATAAACACTTAAACCCTTCTCTTCTAGACAATTGTATATAGCTATATCTGGATAATTATAGCACGTATACAAGTAAAATATGCAAAAAATAAATGAATGCAAGGTATGAGAAAATTAATTAAAGTCCAATTGTGGTTTCCCAGGTAAATCTCCTAAGTGGTTCACTCCATCATGTAGATCCACATATATGCAAAAAATTGCATCCAGTGTTGTTGGACTAGTTTCCTGAGGAGAGGAAAAATAATAGATAATGGGGATAAATAATGTATAAATAGCAGCAGCGGCCATCTTGGTTGAGGAAAGGGATACGAAGATCGTGGCAGCGGCCATCTTAGAGAGGAGTGTAATAAGTGGCCATATTAGGAGGGGAACAAGTAGATATAAGAAGAATAAAACAAACATGAGGTCTTAAGAGTCTGGATAGAAAGGACATATAAAGAACATTCAAATAAAGATTTGGTAAAAATCAGGATAAAAAACAAAAAAACAACCCACAAATAGTTGTATAGTAAAAAGTGAATAAAAATTACAAAAAATTATATATATCTATTACATTGATAAAGGTGCACTCCTGGATTTGAAAATTATAACAGTTTATTGTGCAAAAAAATTAAAATAGAAATATGATCAGATAATCGACATTTCGACCTCTAAAAAAGGTCTTTCTCAAGATCAGAACATTGCAAACTGTAACCGTGAAAATATATATATTTGTAGATTAGTGTTCAAACTCAAGGAAATCGGTCTAGATGAAAATGCTTGTTCTTCGGTAGAACATTGGCTTAAAAATAGAGTACAAAGAGTTGTCGTTCGTAAATTTTTAAGCTGGACAGAGGTGACAAGTGGTGTCCCTCAAGGGTCTGTTCTGGCATGATCAAATGATCTTGAAGAAAGCATTGAAAGTCATGTTTCAGTGTTTGCAGATGACACAAAACTCTAAACTAATACAATGTGAGCAAGATATTACTTTGCTGCAGAGCAAGCATGTCAAACTCAAAGTGTGGCATGGGCCACATAAACAAGGTTTACGTGGGCCGCACACACACACACACACTCACTGACAGACACACAAAGACACTCACCGACAATCAGACACACACTTTTCATTATTGCTCCTTACCTTATGTAGCCGATGGGGGGGCATCTCCCAGGGGTCCTTCCTGCTCCTCACTGCTTCCATGCGTGGTTCAGTGATGCCGGAATATGACATATTCCCGGCCTCATTTCAGTCAGCTCGCGCGAGGGAGCAGTGAGGAGCGGGAAGGCTGTACTCCCTCGCGGCCCTCCTCCCCGGCCGGGTAAATGTTAGAGTAGGCACCTGCAATATGGGGAAAGCAGGTGCCTACTCTGCTATAACACTGAGCATGCACTCGCGGCTCGCAAAGATGGTCCTTGTGGGTTGGACATGCTTGCTGCAGAGGGATTTAGATAGACTGGGCAACTGGGCACTCAAATGGCAGATGAAGTTTAATGTTGAAAAATGCAAAGTTATACACTTCGGCATAAAGAATACACAAGCAACGTATACCCTTAATGGAAGCGAATTAGGGATAACAACACACAAAAAAGGACTTGGGAATTGTTATAGACAACAAACTATGCAACAATGTGCAATGTCAATCAGCAGTGGCCAAGGCCAGTAAGGTATTGTCATCCATGAAAAAGGGCATTCATGCTCGAGACGAGAATATAATTGTGCCTCTTTATAAAATCACTGGTAAGACCACATATTGAATATGCTGTGCAATTTTGGGCACCTGTTCTAAAGAAGGATATTATGGCAGTAGAAAAAGTGCAAAGGTGGGCTTCAAAATTAATAAAAGGAATGGAACATATCAGCTATGAAGAAAGGTTAACAAATTTAAACCTATTTAGTTTAGAAAAACGTCGCCTGAGAGGGAATATGATAACATTATACAAATATATTCGGGGCCAATACAAACCATTGTGTGGAAATCTATTCACAAACCGGACTTTACATAGGGCACGAGGTCATGCGTTTAGACTGGAAGAAAGAAGATTTCGTCTAAGGAAAAGGAAAGTTTTTACTGTAAGAACAATAAGGATGTGGAATTCTCTGCTTGAAGAAGTGGTTTTATCAGAGTCCATACAGATGTTCAAACAGCTACTAGATGCATACTTGCAAAAACAGAATATTCAAGGATATAATCTTTCAATGTAGGGTTATAGCTTCTTGATCCAAGGATTAATCTGAATGCCATTCTGGGGTCAAGAAGGAATTTTTTTCCTAGCTTGTTGCAAAATTGTGCTTCAAACTTTTTTTTTTTGCCTTCTTTTGGATCAACAGCAAAAAAATGTGAGGCTGAACTTGATGGACGCAAGTCTCTTTTCAGCTATGTAACTATGTAATATGCATAAATCAAATAGGCACTTACCAATGAACGTGAAGTGAATCTCCACCACCTGATAAACCCGAAAGTGAGGAAAGACCACGTGTGACGTCATCACGCTGCGTCCCCACGGTAGACAACGTGGTAACTAAGTAACCGTTGCAATAGGCAACCAAAAACACCGGTGGTTCATACAGCTAGCCTAATGCTAATCTTCCGAGACAGAGGATCATGTGGAGACTGCCAGTAACACAAAGTGACAAACTTATGGACTAAAGTGAAGTCCGTGAAACAAAAAAAATCAAAAAAAAAAAAAATCAAAAAAAATAAAATAAAGCAAACCATGCAAATAGTGAAGAATAGCTTCCTCCATGCCCCAACTTTAAATGTATAAAGGATCCTTAAAAAGCATAGAGTCCCACAGATATAACAAAGTGACAGTGGGATAACAATATTATAACAATCCATTATTAATAGACTATTATTAATAGAGCAGGCTAGGCAGAAAAAAGTCTCTCTAATATATATATATATATGCTTAAAAGGACCACTATAGTGCCAGGAAAACATACTGGTTTTCCTGGCACTATAGTGCCCTGATGGTCCCCCTCCCGCCAGTTTCTATGAAACTGCTATGTTTATAATAAAAATAAAAATAAAAAAAATAATATGGGTTAACCCAAGCTGGACCAGGCACCCAGACCACTTCATTAAGCTGAAGTGGTCTGGGTGCCTAGAGTGGTCCTTTAAACACACTCCTATTGTATAAACCATACACCGCAACATTAAATGTATGTGCATGGAAAATTTAACAAAATGATAATCACTAAATACAAAAAGAATACATGAAAAACAAATGAGTGAAGAAATACATTAATCTAGAATCCACAATAACACAAGGAGGTCTCTACACAAGGACCAGTTCCATCTATCAGTATGTCAATGCTAACAAAGAAGTGAAAGTGAGCATATCTACAGATCTAATTGCAAATACCTAATAAAGGTACAATTTAAGATGGACGTAAACTTTAGAAACATAGAGAACAATGTTCTCGTTTAGACCATTCGGAGATACAGCGTTCAAATGGTGTATCCAATAAGCATCACGTTGCAATAATGCTAGAGATCTGTCTCCCCAACGGGATAAAGGGGGGACATGATCAATGGCAATGAATCGAAGGGACTGGAGACGATGTCCCATCGTCAGAAAATGTTTGGCAACAGGTTTATCAGTCTTTTCATCCCGGTAAGCAGTGTTGATGGTTGAGCGATGGCCTCAAATACAATCGCTAACCATAAGATCGGTCTTGCCAACGTATGCCAGCCCACATGGACAAGTAAATTACATGGTCCGTAGTACATGTTATATATCACAGAGGCTCTTATTTCTCTTATAGCGCATTATAGGCTTTTGTCTGATTGTAGAACGTGTCTATAGATAGAACCACGCACCTTTCGGGTGTCCGTGTGATAGGTAAGAGGTAGAAACATTCGGTTCTCCTTTGGAATAGGTCTCTGATTGGGTTTTCTCCTTAAAACGTTCAGTCGCCTTCGCAATAGACAGGATTGGAGGATGAGAACCTCTCTCCAAAAAAAAACCTATCCCACATCTGCTGAAGTTGGACCTCCTTGTTGTTATATATATATATATATATATATATATATATATATATATATATATATATATATATATATATATATATATATATATATATATATATATCTCAACTCGTAGAAATTGGGATATAGGGAGAGAATCCTTAAATTGTTGAGGATGGAAGCTTGTTGGCTGTAATAAGGTGTTGTGATCAGTCCGTTTCCGGTATAGCCTGTATCCTATAGATCTCTTATCTCTAAACACCAATATCCAAAAACTCTTGATTCATGGTGCCAAACAGGAGTAAATGTGACCGGTAATGGTGAGGAGTTAATTTGGTCTATCATCAAACCCAATGCCTTTCCAAATCAGAAATACATCATCCACAAAACATAAAAATGTAAGGATCTTATGTTGATACTTTGATGGAATATATTTCTGTTCAAAACAGAACATAAATGCATTAGCGTATGAGAGAGCCATAGCCGCCCCCATCGCAGTTCCAGGCGTTTGCAGGTAAAAAGGGTGCTCAAATTTTAAATAATTACAGGTGAGAACAATGGTAGTGCTAAGAATTTCCTGGACTGCCTGCACTCCCTCTTCATGTGGAATTATTGTGTACAAGCTCTGTACATCAAGTGTCACAAGTAATATCTTCTCCAACCAGATTTATGGAGCTAATCGGATTTTAAAAATCTTGGGTATTCTTAAGGCAAGTGGGTAAATTTTGTACACCATCATTGATGTAAAAATCAATATATTTTGCAATAGGTTCAATGAATCCATCCATGGCCTATACAATCGGTCTACCAGGCGGGTTGGTTGAGTCTGTGGGCTCGTTGCAGTTTCCTTCATTAGTTCGTTGCAATATAGAGTCCTCTGTAGTTTATACATCTCAATGTCCATGTTAAAGTGAACCGGTTTCTTGGCAGGGACAAAATGTTAACCCTTTATTCAATACTGAATGATGGTGTACATGGCGGATCTTGCTTGACAAACTGAAGACTACTGTTGTCATCTCTGTATTGGGGTTTTTTCGTTGGCATTTGTATTTCTTATTCTTCTGTCCCCGCTGTACTGCTCTGTTCCTCTGGTGCTTTGCATTAAAGTACTGGATCCTATAGGGCAAGCATGTCAAACGCGCGGCCCACAATGGACATCTTTGCGGAACGGCGAGCCGCGAGTACATGCCTAGTGTTCCAAGCAGAGTAGGCACCTGCTTTCCACACATTGCAGGTGCTACTCTGCTAAAACTTACCCGGCCAGGGAGGAGGGCCAGCGAGGGAGCTCAGTGTTCCTGCTCCCTTGCGCGCGTCGTCTGTAGTAAAGCCGGGCGGCGGAATATGACGTCATATTCCGGCACCCTGCATCACTAAACCGCGCGAGAGGGTAGTGAGGAGCAGATAGAAGGACCCCAGGGAGATGCCCCACATCGGCTCCAAAAGGTAGGGAGCAATAAAGAAAAGTATGTGTGTGCAAGAATGTGTGTGTCAGTGAGTGTGTCTGTCAGTGCAGTTTTATTGGTTAGACTCCGCTGTGCATCAACCACTAGGGTTGTCGCTACAGCAGTGAAAGACAAACTAAGGTACCAAGGAGAGACTCCAGGGGTCTCAAAGGGGCATAACCCCAAAAAAAAAAAAAAAAAAAAAAAAAAAAAAAAAAAAAAAAAAAAAAAAAGAGAAAAACACAAAATGCTTGTCACAATGCCAAACGACAAATGTGACTAGAGGCCTCCGACGAAGGTGCTTGACTCTATAGCACCGAAACGCGCATCAGGCGTTTCATTCCTCTTTCTTTACTTATGGGCACTTTACACTAGACACAGCATGACACTCAGTTTGCCTCACCGTTTCTTTTTTATTTTTAAATAGACACTATGTTCCATTGATCTACCCCTTTGGTGGTCTAAGAGCTAATTTCTGGAAGAGAGGGATTACTGATTAGTCTGCTAGATATTTATGCAGTATATGTTACTACCCGTCTTCTTCACCCTCCTTTCTATGACTGCTTTATACCTTGCTATCTATTCATAGATGTCATTGAGCATTCTAAGCATCATGATATCTATGCTCTATACCTCCTAATTTATTTCCAGCTATATGGTCTCCCTTAGTTTTTTGTATATACCTTATTTCTTTGTAAGGAACGATTTTGTGTATATACACCTTATCTTTAGGGAGTAGGTGTGCTTCTCATTTTATTATTTTTTGAAGTAGCACTTGCTTTACATATTATGACTAGGTAATCGCCTGTTCATTCATGCCACAATTACATACGCTACCCTATTTAAGGAGCATCTGACCATTCTGTATAGTTTGGATTAATCTGTTGATATGAAGTGCCTTTGCACTATTAGAGGTAATAATTAAGCGGTAGCCTTAGGGTGGTATACCTAATTCATTAGGATAGCACTGCATATATCTACTGAGCCAGACACTATAAAGCTCAGAGTAGATACCTGCCGCTAAGTATATGCTGGTGATACTTTTATACCACCCAGGGATTATGGAACATTTGTGTATCTATTTGTATTTTTAACTCACACTTTATTGGGATCGCTCAATCTTTGCATTCAGATTTATTTAGTATAGCCTACTGTATATTTCCAGGCAACACAGCTAGTCACTTTTTAAAAATGATCAAATTGATTTTTTAATGCAATGTATTGTTTTTATTTTAACACACAACTATTTTTGGTGTGACGACTGTTTTTATCTTCAAATAGAGGGGACAGCCACGGGGACACAATTTGCACGAAGTTATGCTAATTTATTTATGGGCAAGTGGGAAGAGGCGTTTGTATGGTACAACTGCCCATTTGGCGCAAATCTGTCCCTGTGGCGTAGATACATCGACGATTGTTTTTTTATATGGAAAGGAGATTTGGAATCGTTAGAGCAATTTAAAATCTACCTTAACAATAACCCCTACCATCTACAGTTCACTTTTAATCACTCTAGAGAGCAAATTGAATTTTTGGATCTGGATATCTTCATTGAAAAAAGGAAGTATACATACTAAAACTTTTAAAAAGATTGACTGTAATAGTTTTATCCCTTTTAACAGCCATCACAAGTCTACTTGGTTAAAAAAATATACCCCAGAATCAATTTAGGAGAGTTAGACGTAATTGTTCCCAAACCGATATCGGTCTACAGCAAATGCAGGAGATGAAAGAAAGATTCGTAGAGAAAGGATATCCCTTAGATTTATTGGGAGAAGCCCTAAACAAAGCAATTGAGACACCGAGAGAGGTTACTCTACTTAAAACACAAACTACTGGATCTTTCTCTACTGCACCTGCTTTTATTACACAATACAATCATCAGTCTTCTCTGGTACAAAAGATTTTGAAGAAACATTGGGGGATTTTAGAGCAAGATCCAACTCTTTCCGGATTTCTTGATCACCAACCACGTGTCATTTTTACGAAGGCACCCAATCTTCAAGTAATGTTGGCACCTACTATTAAATCCTCCTATGAGACCACAAACCACGATATCACTCATGGTTTCATACGTTATAGAAAATGTCTACCATGTAGAAATAACCCAACCATGGACCATACAACGACCACATTTAGATCTCAGACTAGTCAGGAGGATTTTAAGATCAGGAGCAATATGAATTGTAGTACTTCAGAAGTGATTTATTTGATAACCTGTCCCTGTTCGAAGCAATATATTGGACGCACTAAAAGTTTTAAAAATACAAATTGCGGAACACATCAAGAATATCAAAAAAGGATTATTAACTCACAATCTTTCCAAACACTTTAAAGAAGTACATGGGGGATACCCCACTGGACTTAATTTTTATGGCTATAGAGAAGGTGAATGTTCATTGGAGAGGTGGCAGTATTGACAAAATTTTAGATCAAACTGAGGCTAGATGGATCTTTCAATTGGACACTAATTCCTAAAGGACTTAATGTTGACTTTAAGCTTCATGCTTTTTTATAAGTATACGCTTTTATAAGATATTTATTATTATATTTTATTTTTTTTCTCTTCACACACATATATATTCACTTCTAGCTTCACTTATTTTATCTCTTTTATTACTTCTATTTGAAATATTTCTGACTATATTATTTTATATATTATTTCTCTCACCACTACACATTATATACAGATGATACCACATATATTTCACATAGATGGTGCTTGGTCACTTTGTAATTGTATCATCCCTGTTCTAATGCGTTTTAGAAATGGTTTGGATCCTTTTACACTACTTTGACACTCCCTTTTACACATACTTAATCATTGGGAGTTATTTCACATATCACATATTGAACACCACATGGAATCTGTTATATTTTCTTTGTATCCTTTTATGTATTATTCATCATTTATTTCTTACCATATATTTTTTAATAGTATCTCAAGCTATCAGAACACCATTTTTATTATCTACTTATTTCAGGCTACCCAAATGTTGCTATATTATAGTTCATATGTATTGATGTATATGTACTTAAATCTCATTAAGCTATTAGTTATTGATTATGGTGATTATACTGATTTTTTTTATACATCTGTAATGTTGATGATGCCTACAGTACATATTGTTTGTTACTTAATATTTTTTACATAATTGTTTTTAGCTGTTATCTTAATGCTCCATATTGTAATATTTTGTATATACTTGCAATGCTGACAATGTATATTTGTCATATCTATTTATTGTTTTTTTTACTTTGAGGCTCTAATTAGCACAATGTGTATTTAAGCATGGCTGCAACAACAGTCTGCAATATGTGTCTGAAGAAGTGAGGCTATTTCCTCACGAAACGCGTTAGACCAAAGCATCTCTTTGAACTGTGCTAGTAACCAGCATTAGAAGCACCCACTTTCTCAGGACCCTTGGTGAACCTGTGGACTTAGACTATTCACTGTGCACACCCCCCGGAGTGAGGTCCGTGTTGGGACAGACACATCGATCTGCACGCCGTCCTCAACCGGCAGACAGAACACAGAGCACCAGCTGCCAAGTCAATCCACATCCATCCTGGCTGATTCCAAGGGTCTGTGAATATTTGTGGACTTCATTGGACTGGTAACATATTTGCACATGAATTGACCATCATTTTTGATTAATTCATATTTTAATCTATATTTATTTTTAATAAACTGGACTTTGCATTTCTATCCAGTTTCTGTCTTTCTACATTGTATCCACGCTACATTATTTATTTTAGCACACAGTTCCTCATACTGTAGTGCTTGTTTTGCAACTTTGTCTATACAAAGCATATTATTTAGGTGCAAGTATTAACTGTTATCCTGTATCTTCTCAGGGACAGTATTTTACTGCACCTTGCACTGTTAGGAGCATTTATTTTTATTTTTTATTTTATTTTAATCATTTATTTTCTCTTATCCGATTCGTCCTCTGTTTTTATATATCACATATGATTAAGTTTAAAATTTATCAGTTACATTTTAGAGTCCTACCCTTGATATATTTTTCTTAAAGGCATAGTACCCATTTTTGAGTCCCCTTTTTTAGTCACATTTTTATTGTTACATCCTTGAAGTATTTTATACAGATTTTATCCAGCATTTCTTATCCGGATTTTTGAGTCATATACTAATTCGCTCCAAGGTCTTTTGCATTTTTTAGTGTTTTTTCTTTATTCTATATAGGTTTTAATGGAACCCTATCTTCCTAGTTAGTAGCTATTTAGTTTTAGTCCTCCTCCCTCTTTTCTGTGTATCACATTAGGTGTACCAGATCTATCTATTTAACACAGCTAGTCACATTTGTCATTGTGACAAGAATTTTGTGTTTTCTCTATTTTCTCAATTGTTGGTCAGTGTTGCATTGGCTGTGACTGGACAGTGGAGTACCTGGAGGTGCATGGGAGGCATGCAACGCCACGTCACATGCTAATGTGAAATCAATGTGCTCCACCTTCACAGGGATTCAAGAAGTAGCAGGAGGATCAGGTGGCACCGTTTGGGGTATACCAGAGGCCGGACTCTGGAGTCGCATACTGGCAGCGGCAATGTGAGTGGAGTCTGCTGTTGTTGGCTAGAGGGGGAGGACTGGGATTTAGTAGGAGGATACTGTAAATTTCCAGTTCCAAGGATATACTTTTTATGGGGTTATTGCATATTTTGGGGTCCCTGTGATGTGTTTTATAATACTGTATTTCTCTGCCTGTGATAATTATATTACTCATTGTGTTCAGTAATCATATCACAGGCAGAGGGGAGGATTTTGTGTGGGAGTGTCTGTGTTTATTGTATGGATTGATTGGCTGTGTTTCAAAACCCTGTGGGCAGTACTAAGTTTGTAGATTGGGAATAAAAAGAGGCTGTATGTGCCAGTACAGTCAGTTCTGCTTGACCTCAAAACGAAGTGTCGTCTCGTTATTGGGGGAATTGGATTGTATGCTGATTGCCAGGAGTGTAAGCTGATTGTATGCTTTTCCTGTTCAGCTGCTTACAGCATTCATATGCTTGAGAGCATTTGTATGCTTCTCCGGTTCAGTGGTTGTGGTGGCTGCTGCAGTGCTTGGAGTCCTCAGGAAGCGCTAGGAGCATCCTTCAACAGAGGTACCCAGTCGGGGTGCCAGGTGATCCGTTACAAGAACATTGTGTTCTCTATGTTTCTAAAGTTTACATCCATCTTAAATTGTACCTTTATTAGGTATTTGCAATTAGATCTGTAGATATGCTCACTTTCACTTCTTTGTTAGCATTGATATACTGATAAACGAACTGGTCCTTGTGTAGAGACTACCTTGTGTTATTGTGGATGGACAGAGAGACAGAGACAGACTCACTTTTTTTTCTGCCTAGCCTGCTCTATTAATAATAGATTGTTATCCCACTGTCACTTTGTTATATCTGTGGGACTCTATGCTTTTTAAGGATCCTATATACATTTTTTGCTTCACTTTGACACATGGATTGATTTTTTTTTGTTCCACGGACTTCACTTTAGTCCATCAGTTTGCCACTTTGTGTTACTGGCAGTCCCCACATGATCCTCTGTCTCGGAAGATTAGCTTTAGGCTAGCTGTATGAACCACGGGTGTTTGGTTGCCTATTGCAACGGATACTTAGTTACCACATAGTCTACCGTGGGGACGCAGCGTGATGACGTCACACGTGGTCTTTCCTCAACTTTTTCTTTCAACTTTTGGGAAGAGTGCCAAACTTACTTTTTGGAACACACACACAAATATGACATGAAATTAAATAAAATTAAACAAATAAAATTCTGCAGTTAAACCATTAGGGGCGAGTGTCTGTAAATGAAACACCCATTCCATTTTGGACTTGCCGAGGATGTTTTTTATATTCTCTCATCTCCAAGGGATAATAAATTTTTTGATGCCAATACACTTTAATGATTTAGGGTCGTTGTTGTGTATGGCAAATCCACTTTACTACATCTCTCTCCTGACTGCAATTCCCACTATACTAGCACACTCCACCAACAGAGTTGCCATACACACAAGGTTTTGCTAGATCTATATAATGTCATCATGTTGACTGTCAGGCACGGATATGGAGCTGTGTAGTATGTACAGTTTATATGCGATTTACCACTTGTTTTACCGCGTGCAGCATTACACATGATGTGACAACCCTACCGCAACTCCAAATATCATCTACTATAATATAGCTTTTCCCTTAAGGACCAAAACTTCTGGAATAAAAGGGAATCATGACATGTCACGTGTCCTTAAGGGGTTAATTCAACATACTAGCACTCTTCCCTGACTTCAACTCCCATTACTTGAACCCACCATGCCACCTTCCTGATTGCAACACCTACTTTCATTCACTATACTGCTGCTGCCAGTGTGGCCCTCTAGAGTCTAGATGCATTACACAGAGCCTGGTGTAGAATAGATACAGTATTCATAAACGCATCAGAAAATGGAAATAAATCACCTGTGAGCTGACAATTACCATTACTCTGCAGTAGGTTAAGATTAAGTTCTTTTATTGCCAGAAGGATGGTTATGATGGCACCACTGTTTTACTGGAAGTGAGGGGGGCCAAGATGGCGCCACTGTTACCGACAGTGAGGGGGGCCAAGATGGCGCCACTGTTGGGTCACCAAGATGGTGCCAATGTTACCGACAGTAAAGGGGTTAGGATGCCACCACTGTTGTGTTACCGACAGTAAAGGGGTTAAAGGACCACTATAGTGCCAGGAAAACACACTCGTTTTCCTGGCACTATAGTGCCCTGAGGGTGCCCCCACCCGCCCGGCTCTGGAAGGGGGAAAGGGGTAAAAAAAACTTACCTTTTAACAGCGCTGGGCAGAGAGCTTCTCCTCCTCCGATCCTCCTCCCCGTCGGCTGAATGCGCACTTGCGGCAAAAGCTGCGCGCGCATTCAGCCGGTCACACAGGAAAGCTTTCATAATGCTTTCCTATGGAAGCTGGCGTGCTCTCACTGTGAAAATCACAGTGAGAAGCACGCAAGCGCCTCTAGCAGCTGTCAATGAGACAGCTGCTAGAGGAAATAGGGGAAGGCTTAACCCATTCATAACCATAGTAGTTTCTCTGAAACTGCTATGCTTATGAAAAAATGGGTTAACCCTAGCTGGACCTGGCACCCAGACCACTTCATTAAGCTGAAGTGGTCTGGGTGCCTAGAGTGGTCCTTTAAGATGGCACCACTATTCTGTTACTGGGAAAGAGTGGGTTAAGATGACACCATTGTTGTGTTACTGGCAGTGAGGGGGGCTAAGCAAGTCAAGCTTACCTGAAGTCGATCTTGGATGTCATTCTCTGTTGGAATCCCATCGTCTGGATCCTGGTTCAATGGCTGGTATTGGTACCCATTGTGAACATCCTCTTCTTCCTCCTCTTCTCCCCCACTCCAGTCTGCAGGGGGGTCTTGCGGATCACTGAATTCTTCAGTTTGATTTGGTAAGATTCTTTCAGGGCCCATCTATAAACATTGATGAGACAGAAGACACTTAATTAAAACAGCTGGGTGTTACACTACGCTCAGTTTATGCACTGCCACATCTCCCGTGTGTACGTCACTGCCAGGCTCGCTGTGTGCCATGCTACCCTGGATGCATCACTGCCAGGCCCGCTATGTGTGTGTGTGTGTGTGTGTGTGTGTGTGTGTGTGTGTGTGTGTGTATCACTGCCAGAACCGATGGGTGCCAGGCCACGCTGTGTAAATCACTGCCGAATTAGGAATGGTCTCCGGCTTGACGGGGATTTGCCAGTATACCTTGCACAAATCTATGGTAGTCAAGTAATTCCCCCCCCTCCCCCGGCCATTTGGTCTAACAATTTGTTGATCCAAGGTATAGGATAGGCACCTGTGACTGTTCGTTCGTTGAGCTTTCGGTAGTCTATACAGAAGCGGGTCGTACCGTCCCGCTTACATACCAAAACTACCAGGGAAATTCAAGGACTCTGGAAGAGTTGTATGCCTCCCAGCTCCAGCATCTTCTGGATCTCTCGTAACAAGCTTTCCTGGAATGCCTAAGATGCGGAATGGCTGCTGCCAGAGCGGTACATGTCCCTGGGTCTCGACCCGGTGAACAGCCAGTGTAGTGTAATCTGGTGCAGCAGTGAACATCTAGTGATGTCCCTGTAACAGTTGGGAGACTTCTTTCCTTTCTACAGAGCTAAGGCCTTCCCCTAAGCTAACCTGCTCTACACTTCCAGGGGATGTGGCGAGCAGGTCGGGCAAGGGGAGGTGCTCACTGTCCTCTACGAAGGAGGCGCATACTGCAGCTACCTCCTCGGGTCTTTCCAAGTAGCGCTTAACATGGTCACATCACATGGAAGGAGGTTTGTGTCCTTTCAGCCAAACATTGGGCTACGATATTGTCGCTAATGCGCTCCACTACTAAAAACGGCCCCTGCCATGTCCTCTAGAATCCTGTCTCTGGCACCAGAACTAATTTTTGATCTGCGACCCCACGAACGCCTATGCAACTTCCCGAACAGTTAGGAGAACGTCGTTCGGGAGGCATAAACTACTGAACAGGGGAAGCATTCGCATGCTTACAGCCAGGAGATGGAGTCATCTGTGTTCGTGCGAGAACCCCGTAAGATGACCGTACGTTGCCTTGTTTCCTCTGGAACGGTTTTGGGGCATCCCCTCATGGCAGACCGGTCAAAACATCATTCCAATGGCGTTCTCAAACCACTGAACGGATCTGAGTGATATTTTGGCAAGTGTGCGCTCATATCCAAGCTATTCAATGACGTGATGTTCGTGGGGTTCTGAAGTTATTCAAATTGATTTTTGTAGGTTTTTAAATATTGTAGATTTTTCTGTACCTGGGAGATAAAGGAGTTATAGTTTTTTTTCCTCACGCAATTATCTCTCAGACACATAGGATCTTGGGAGGAAAAGCCCTGTAATTTTGTGTGAGAAACCCCAGGGGTAGGGGTCAGTGCATAAAAGCTGTGTATGGCCAGAATAAAGTCAGTTGTACTCCTAGAACTGTGTATTGTCTAGTTGCTGGAGAGGAAGTGGAAGATCTATTTGGTGCTTTTCTTGTTCTTGATTTTACTCTTGGGTGATTCAGTGGAGAGAAAATCCCTGCTAGGACTAGGGCTACGCTACAGTGGGGTTGGCTGAGCGCAACAGGTGGGACAAAAGGGTGGACGTCTTTTGCCCATCCTGGAATTTGTCAGCTAGAGGAGCTGCTTCTTCTAAGTTAAGGAACTCTGGCAGCATTTGGTCGAAGATTTGCTCCAACAGCATTAGTTCTAAAGCTACTGCTAAGGTGGTTGCCTGACACCCTTGCATCCAGTTTCGGTCTTCCCAATGCATCGAAAAAGACCATTCAGCAAAAGAATCCCTGATGCCTTTTCATAAGCCGCAAAATTTCCTCTGGTAGGCGTCGGGGGTTACTGCATACTGAGCCAACAGTGTCTTTTTGACCTGCTCGTAATTATTTATTGATGTCCAAGTCGGGTACTGCCCAGTATGCTTCGGCTGCTCGACCAGACAACTTCCTGCTTATGATGGCCACCTTTGTCTGAGAGTTTGCTCTGGCTTAAATATAATTATTTCACAGTAGCACATAAACATCCCAAAATAGTTAGAACACACGGAAAACCGACGTGTCATACATCCCTGGATAGCATCTAGTCCGAGCCCCCAAGTGTGACGAATTGCACTTCGCCACTGGGTTTTGGAGAGGCCTGCTTGCCAGCCTCTTGCCCTGTGACTATGGCCCCTGGGTGTATTGCCCTTTAAAAACTATATTTCTGCCTATTGGATTTTGGAGCACTGTTTCTGCCCCTTTAAATTGTACTGGTACAGTTCTGCACTTTTGAGATCTTCTTAACCCTCAATACTTAGCCTTGTCTCGTGTTTGTAGGGAACTTCTATATTCAAACTGTATACTTTGTATACTCCCCTGGGCTCTAATCAATCACTTTGCTCTTTTAAGAACTGTTCCTGTTACGCTCTCCTTGAGGAGAGGTCTCCCCCACACGGTCCTGGATATCAGAGGTTGATCCAGGGTGGAAGGAAGACGGTTGTGAAGTCTGCGGTGGTTGTGGTGTCCGGTGCGGTGCTTATGGTCCTCGGCGTCAGCTAGGAAGAGTCTATCAACGGAGGTGCCCAGAAAGGGTGCCAGGTGATCAGTTACACCACGTTTCCAAATAGTTTTGACTGCCCGCACACGTAGGAGAAGCCCAAAATAGTTCCAGCATGAAAGTGATCTTGGCTGGTCAAATATCGGGAGTTCCTGTGGTCAAATAAACGGGGGCTCCCTCTGGCTCTTAGGGAGCAATTGTTCCTCATACTTAGTAGTACCTTCCCTCCAATTAGCGCTCTCCTGGCAAGTAAACTGTGACGGTAGTATAGGGTATGACCGTCAAGCATTCCCTTCTTCCCATAAAAGAAAATCACCTAATATTCCACAAGTAGAAATATCCCTGGAATCGCCGAATAATCCACACATGAGCCAAAGCTTAATGCTGGAACAAGACTAATTTACTGGCACACAGAACTCACAATTTATGCAACACAAAACTCCTCCTCTGGGCCAGGCTAGATAGAGTTTCTACAATACACAAAGCTCAATTATCTGCTGGCCAAAAACATTACAATTTTTTAACAGTTTCAGAAACATACTTTTTACAAGACATACAAATATACTTTTAACATCCCTGGATAGCTGAGGATACTGGTAGTTACATATCCAAATCTCACGAATTTCCATTTGGTAGTTTCCGTGTCGCATCGTGTGGAAGTTTGACCGGCTTGCCATGTGGAGGTATCCGAGTTAGAGTTCCATAGAATCAGTAGCAAGAGCCGGTCTCCGTCCGCATCTAACTACACGAAAACCACCGTTCGTATGGTTCAGCTGGTTACATGTGAATGTTTCCCTCATTCGGTAGATGCTATCTACCGAACGCCAGTTTGATTCGTGGAGGGGAACGTATTCATCCAGGACTTCCATGAGGACCGGGTGTTTGCATGTTTGCCGTGCCGAAATTAGTTCCAGGCAATTCATGCGTAAGCCCCGCTGACTACATTCGTGAGTTTTAAGATGGTAGTAATTAAGTCACGGTTTTCTCTGCGTTCTAATGCTGATTGCTACCCAGGGTGTGTGGTCTCCATTCGGTAAACGAATACATTCATTCCATACATATTGAACCGAACTGATACAGGCATTTAAACAGCAGGGAGAAGGTTCAACTGAAGGCATATATGCAAGTACAAGAGCTCCTTCACAATGGCCCCCTTTTACTCCCTGCTCCGGCAGACATGACTGGACCTTTCCGGGTCCAGTGGGGCTAACGGGACTTCCAGCCATTAGTCCAAGAATAAGACCATTTGGCGGGCCAGTCCACATCTAGCATTTAAAGGGGCAGCCCTTCCCGGTTCCATGATCCCATGGCAGAAGGCCGGCTAGTAGTCCTCTCCAGGCGCGCAGATGCCTGGCCTTCCATCTGTCAGGACCCATGTTAGTCAAGCAGCCCACCCACAAAGAAAAATCAGCAGAGTAGCCCCCCCACAATAAACAGTACTGGCCTGTAGGTCCCAGGTTGTAGTGGGACAGTTCAGCATCCTCGGTCTCCCTGGTGCAGCTAAGCAAACAGCTGGGGCTTCTCGGGGGGCAGAGGCCAGCGGTGCTCTGCCCTGGTGCCAGCTCTTCTGCTGGGATAGCCTGCAGGGTGTCAGGCTCTGGGCAAGGTAGAAGGGTAGGGCAGAGGTCAGCGGTACTCTGCCCAGGTGCCAGCTCTTCCACTGGGATAGCATGCAGGGTGTCAGGCTCTGGGCAAGGTAGAAGGGTAGGGCAGAGGCCAGCGGCGCTCTGCTCAGGTGCCAGCCCTTCTGCTGGGAGGGGGTAAGTGGGTATTGCAGGTTCATCCACTGCCCGCAGGACCCGGTCAGGTTGTAGCTGTGGAGGGGAGGGCTTGCTTACCTCTTCCTCCCGGTATCCCTGCAGGGATAGTTGGGGATCTGGACCGCCCGTCCAGCATCCCTGTAGGACTGGCACAGAGACCGCGGTCCCATCTGCGCCAGTGTGGTTAGGGTTGTTCTCCCCCTCACCCGGTACCTCCTGCTGCGGTGGAAGAGGGAGGCCGGCTGCCCCCACTCCCCAGGGTGCTGGTTGCTGTAAGGTGGAGGGATCTACCATCACCTCTTCCTGGAACTCAGGCCGCCGCTGGGCAGAGAGACCGGTTGTCCCCTCTCTCTGCGAGATGCACCGCCACTGGGGATCTGAGCCGGATACCCAGCATCCCTGTAGGGTCGGTGGAGAGACCTCGGTCCCATCTCCACCTGCCATCTGTGTGTGTTCCCCCGGACATTTATGAGGTAAACCTCTAAAAAGAGGAGAGTAGGTGTACCAGCGCTGATATTTTCAAAATATTCTCACAGTCTGTGCAAGAGATAAATAATAAAATAGCTGCTATAACATCTAAATATCTTTTAAAATAGAACTTGGAAAAAATCAAAGGTAGCGAATATATATATATATATATATTATATATATATATATATTTTAAAAAGGCTGTACCTTAAAGAGTCTTTTTAATAAATAAATCTTCCTAGTTTTTGATTCTAAAAAACAGAAGGAAAAAACAGAACGGACATAGTGTATACCGTATAATAAAATTAAGTAAAAATTTTATTATACGGTATACACTATGTCCGTTCCGTTTTTTCATTATGTTTTTTTAGAATCAAAAACTAGGAAGATTTATTTATTAAAAAGACTCTTTAAGGTACAGCCTTTTTATCTCCATTAATATAAATATATATAGAGGCCGGTTGCCTCCCCTCACCAGGACGCTGGTTGCTGTATGGGGGAGGGATCTACCATCAACTCCTCCTGGAACTCAGGCTGCGGCTGGGAAGGGGGACCGGTTGTCTCCTCTCCCTGTGAGATACACTGCCGCTGGGGATCTGGGCCGGGTACCCAGCATCCCTGTGGGGCAGGTGGAGAGACCTCGGTTCCATCTCCACCTGCCATCTGTGGGTCTTCCCAGGACCGTTCCATAAGGTTGCTCACCTCTGGGGCTGGTTGGACAGAAGAGGGTAGGGTGTCCAAGTAATCCTCTGGGCCGAGGGACGGTGATTGGGCTAAGTTGAACAGGCGTCGGTAGCTCTGCTCCAGCCCCCACTCCATTGCGACCAGATAACTCAGGTCTGGCCCCAGGTCGTCCGCTCGGGGAAGATCCAGCAGGGTTTTCCTGATGTTGTGGATGTCCCAGAACCGAAACTCTGTGGGGCATCCAAAGTCATTGCCCTCCTCAAAGGCCTCCCACAGTAAGCCCGGGCCATTATAATCCTCTCCCTCGGGCAGATAGTGGTTAGTCATCCAGGGGTTGCGCTGGGTGGCGTACCACTTTAATGCCCGGTAAGCTGCATCTAGCAACAACTCCTTCCAAATTAAATCCCAGAGTTCCAACAACCATTCATCCAAGGGTTGCTCTCCCAGGAAAGGCATCCGCAGGGCCACTTGCTTCTTCAACCACTGCTCTTCACTGGGGAGACTCTCACCCCGCTGGTATTGTACATTATCCAGGGCCTGGTACCAGATGCTTTTCCTTAATGCATCCCGGCCATCCAGGTCCTCCTCCTCGTATAACACTGCTGGTTCCATTCTGTTGCTTTTAGGGTCGCTGTACTGGGACATGCGTTGCCCCCAACTTGGAAATCCACGGACTGGTGTCGCCTGTAGCTGTCCTGTTGTCTGTGGGAACGATCCCGCCACTGCCACCAATTGTAACGGACCGTTTTGCACACAAGGGGTAAAAACCGTTTAGGCGATCGTCCCCTTTTCAGAGATGCAGGCACAGCTATTGTATACACCAAACTCACGAACCGCCAATAAGGGAATGCTCCAAACTCCCGAACGGCATCCAATATAACACTCCAAACACATGAACTGGAACCATACGAATTGCTGCTAGCAGACAAATAGGCAAAGCATCCAAGCGGCTTACATTCCTAGCAATCAGTCTATCAGCATTCAGTAAATCCCCCCCAAAGACGAGACAAGGCTCCGTGTTAAGGGTCAAGCAGTGAACAGACAGAGCTGTGGGTTTATTGTGCTTATGTACACATTCTTACACATTAGTACCACCCACAGGGTTTTGGAACACAACCAATAAACACATACAATACACTCAGACACTCCCACACAAATTCCTCCCCTCTGCTTGTGTTTCAATTACCTTACACAATGGGTAATGTAATTTAGCACAAGCAGAGAAATACAATTTTTCCACATTATTCATAACTTGAAAAGTATGCATCACATTCTTACATTTTCGGAATCAGCATACTCCAAATACAAACATACGTCAAAATCATACAAATTGGTACAGTGGTTCAAAAGATAGATCGTAGTCCTTTGTGACCACAGGAAGCATGGCTTTTCTGCCCAAAACCAGTTCAACAGAGTCTTCTATCCTGGAGATAATTAGACGTAATGCAATTATCTCCAAAGACAGAGGCAAAACTCCACTGAACACATGGCAGCAAAAAGACAGTAAAATACAATAAAATACACAAGGTTACATTTATGACATAAAATACAGACATGCAACATATGCCCAGATAGCTTAGGTCTGAGCACACATTATTACTGAATGGCGCTCAGAGCACACACATACAGTTCAATTGCCATGGAGCCAAAGTCTTTCATTATACGAATGGGCTTCATTGCATAGCTATCTGGGGTATCACTGCTCAAACAGGGCAAGCACCAAATGACCCGGCTTTCTTGTCTTTGCAGGAAAAAAAAAAAAAAAATCAAGCCTTTTAACATGGGGCCATAATCCAAAGGCAACAGGCGAGCAACCAGGCTTCTCCAATGCAATGTGGCGAGATTGCTCTCGTCACATAAACAAAAGGGAATAAAACAGGGGACAGGAGGGACTGAGAGGAGAGTGGCAGAATATGGTTCCAGGTAAGAGATAGCCAAGTGTTGCTGGGGACGTTCAGTTGTAGATCAAACCGGATGACTGCCAACGAGAGGGCGTATCGGTTAGCAATTTGAAGAGGAACAAAAATGAGTCCCTTCTCTCCAGCTTCTCGCTTACTGTCATACTCTGGGCGTGTGGACCATATGAGGAGATGCTGAATGTCCTTTCGCAGAGATCAGAGTTGATAATCTCAGCCAATCCAATGATTTCCCACCGGGAAGCATTGGATTGGCTGAGATCACCATTTCTGATGATCTCAGCCAAGGAGGCAGATCAAGGGCAGAGCCAGCACCAACAGACTGTAATAAAAAGAGTTTAGTATATTTAGTGGGACAATGAGTGGCAGATAGTGTTTTCAACACTATAGGGTCAGGAATACATATTTGTGTTCCTGAGCCCATAGTGTCCATTTAAATAATTTTTGCTTCTGTTTAGGTAGCTCAAGTGACTCTCACAGCCAACATAATAAAATGGTTTCATTTTCAATCAGATGTTTTCTATATGCTGCTCTGTTAATTAAACTTTAAAATCAATCACACACAGGGCTCTTGCAAACTATTAACAGAGCAGGAGAGAATAGATTCTAAATTAAACAGAATGTGCAATAAAGTGTAAACATTACAGCTTTTTCAGGAAGTGTTTAGGAAGGCTGCACAAGTCGCATGCAGGGAGGTGTGGCTAGGGTTGTATAAACAAATTAAAGGAACACATTAGTGACCAGAACAACTACAGCTTATTGCATTTGTTCTGGTGAATAGAATCATTCCCTTCAGGCTTTTTGCTGTGAACACTGTATTTGCATAGAAAAAGCAGTGTTTACATTACAGCCTTGTGATAACTCCACTCGCCACTCCTCAGATTGCTGCTAGAGGTACTTCCTGGGGCAGTGCTGCTCAGTGAGGAGCACTGCCAGTGTCTCCACCCTCTGCATGCAGACACTGAACTTTCCTCATAGAGATGCATTGAATCAATACATCTCTATGAGGAGATGCTGATTGGCCACAGATGTGTTTGACTTGTGCTGGCTCTGCCCCGTTCTGCCTCCTTGACAGCTTCAGCCAATCCTATGGGGAAGCATTGTGATTGGCTCAGACCGACACTTCTGAGTATATATCAGCAGGCAGGTCAGAGGCAGACCCAGTAGCTGTAGACTTGAATACAGTAAGATTCGACTATATTTAGGGAGGCAAAAGGGGACCCGGGTGTCTAGATGGTGGTTTTAACACTATAGGGTCAGAAAAACATGATTTTATTCTTGACCCTATGGTGTTCCTTTAATTTAACTCCCAAATGGTAGCAAATTGAGCAGGGAGACTGCAGGGGCATGATGTATACACCAAAACTGTTTCATTAAGATAAAGTGGCTTTGGTGACCATACTGTCCTTTTAATAAACTTTCTATTTTCATTTACTAAGGTTAAGAAAATCTAGGATTGTTGTATCTTACTTTGACTTGACAATGTTCACCAAAGCCAATATAGCAAGAGACTTTTGGAGATTTACCTGTACCGTGAGTGTAGGGGGAACAGTAATCACCTATACCAATGCCCCACCCACGAACAGCCCCCTCCCCCCCCTTCCAGGGCCCCACCCACGAACAGCCCCCTCCCCCCCCTTCCAGGGCCCCACCCACGAACAGCCCCCTCCCCCCCCAGGGCCCCACCCACGAACAGCCCCTCCCCCCCTTCAGGGCCCCACGAACAGCCCCCTCCCTTCCAGGGCCCCACCCACGAACAGCCCTCCCCCTTCCAGGACCACCCACGAACAGCCCTCCCTCCAGGAACCACCCACGAACAGCCCTCCCTTCCAGGGAACCACCCACGAACAGCCCTCCCCCTTCCAGGGAACCACCCACGAACAGCCCCTCCCCCTTCCAATGCCCCAACCACGAACAGCCCCTTCCCCCCCCTCCCAGGGCCCCACCCAGCCACACTCCCTCTGTGAAGTGTTGAGGGTTTGCAGTAATGGAGGTAAAAGGGTTAAAGGGGGGAGCAGTGGGGGGCGCACAGAAGTACCTGTTATTTCCTGGTAACTGCAGAGCTTAGAGTTTCAGGGAGCCAGTGACGCGTTTCCAGCGGTTTATATTACAATTTAAACTATTTTCGGGATGATATTTCTTCTACTTCTTCCCACTACAGAATAAAGCGGAATCTCAGAGGCACTTCCGGCAGAGTGTGGCGGAACTACCAAAGCATTTATTGTAGAATATGACGGAATCACTGGTGCACTTCCGGTAGAATGTGGCGGAATCACTGGTGCACTTCCGGCAGAGTGTGGCGGAACTACCAAAGCATTTATTGTAGAATATGACGGAATCACTGGTGCACTTCCGGTAGAATGTGGCGGAATCACCAAGGCATTTATTGCAGACAGCGGAACCACTGGTGCATTTCCGGCAGAGTGTGGCGGAATCAGTGCGACACTTCCGGCAGAGTGTGGCGGAATCAGTGGGACACTTCCGGCAGAGTGTGGCGGAATCACCGAGGCACTTCCGGCAGTGGGTCATAGTGCAGAGATCTCGCTGTCAGTAGGCTCTGCCGTAGAATCCAGGTAAGTCTTGCTCAGATTGGGTTCTTTTGGGAAGTTAATAAAAGGCAGGCATGAAGTTAGTAGCGTCTGACATCCACTTCCCTAAATATGGTCCATACAGAAGGATTGAAGAGTCTGTAATATTCCCTGTAACCTTATTTACATGTAGAACAAGCTCATTGTTATCATTGGGGTTCACTCAGATCCCTGTACTCCCAGCACTGAAAGTGAAGGGGCGATAGAATTTAGAAGTCATGTTCTTTCTTTTAGCACTGTCCGGTGTGACACATAGCCCCCCTCTTATCCCGGCATGTTTTGGGGGCATGCCGCGTTGGACGGTTCACTTGGAGGGGGGTCCACGCAGGGTGAATCATGCTGCAGTGGCCATGGGACATCAGGTGTTTTCTTTTGGGGGTTACTGCTCAGGAGAGGATTACGAAACTCTGCGTCAAATCGATGTGCATGTCTTCAATGCAGGTATGTGGAAATGTGGTTATCTTGTGGCCACTGAAGTGGAAGAAACTGGGATTAACGATCTTGCATGGACTTGTAGATTATTACTTCTTACCCTAATTTGTGCTGTACACCTTTGTTAGTGTCCCTGCGATGGAGGAAACTACCGCCTGCGTCCTGCTCTCCGTCCAAGGTTCCATACATGAGGTATGGACACACAGCTGTATTGATCGATGATGTCATTTACATCTGGGGTGGCCGTAATGACACTGAAGGGGCCTGTAATGTCCTTTACACTTTTCACACAGGTTAGCCTGTAAGGTACTTTTTATTAAATGGTTCAGGAGTCAAAAAGCAATAACGCTATGTATATTTAAACAATTGTCCTTATTTCAGCTACCTTGCAGTGGGCAACCCCATCTGTTTCTGGACAGATTCCTGGAGCACGTGATGGGCACTCTGCTTGTGTCCTGGATAGAACCATGTACATCTTTGGAGGCTATGAGCAGTTGGTAAGAATTGGGAAACATTTAAGTGGGTATGAAATTAATTTTGTAAAGTAATTGATTTGAAGTGTATCATAATTCAACTTTAAACAATTTATCCAAGCACCATAATCACTTCTTTGATTTGCTGCGGTCAATGTGCTTGGAATCTGCATGTGCAGCAGTTCACTATGAAACACTGTATATACAAAGTTTTTAACCCCTTTGTTTCTGGAGAATACCACCTCCATCAGAATAATTGAGACATCATTAGTCAGCCGAGAACAAGTTCCAGCTCTGTGCAAATTTTCATGGTCAGTGAGCCATTCGATTTTTGAGAACAATCAGCTGATACTCTCAGTCAATAGTTGGTTAATGTGTAGTCTTCTAACTCTCAGCAGCTAGAAGCGCATTACCAGTACTGAAATGAGCCTTGGAGCTGAGCTGGGATCAAGGTAAGAGGGCAAAGCATTTATAAACAGTTTGCCCCATTACCGGGCTACTCATGGCATCATAACCACTATACCGGGCTGTAGTGGTTGTGATGCTTGGAGTTACACTTAAAGGACCACTATAGTGCCAGGAAAACAAACTCGTTTTTCTGGCACTATAGTGCCCTGAGGGTGCCCCCACCCTCAGGGTCCCACTCCCGCTGCACTGAAGGGGGAGGAAGGGGGTTAATCCCTTACCTTTTTCCAGCACCGGGCTCCCTCGGCGCTGGGACTCTCCTCCCTCTTCTGATGTCATCGGCTGAATGCGCATGCGCAGCAAGAGCCACGCGCGCATTCAATCAGTCCATAGGAAAGCATTCTCAATGGACGCTATGGACGGTGGCATCTTTTCACTGTGAAAAATCAGTGAGTAGCGCCTCTAGCGGCTGTCAATGAGACAGCCACTAGAGGCTGGATTAAAGGACCACTATAGTGCCAGGAAAACATACTCGTTTTCCTGGCACTATAGTGCCCTGAGGGTGCCCCCACCCTCAGGGTCCCCCTCCCGCCCGGCTCTGGAAGGGGGAAAGGGGTAAAAACGTACCTTTTTCCAGCGCTGGGCGGGGAGCTCTCCTCCTGCTCTCCTCCTCCGATCCTCTCCGTCGGCTGAATGTGCACGCGCGGCAAGAGCTGCGCGCGCATTCAGCCGGTCGCATAGGAAAGCATTCATAATGCTTTCCTATGGACGCTTGCGTGCTCTCACTGTGATTTTTCACAGTGAGAAGCACGCAAGCGCCTCTAGTGGCTGTCAATGAGACAGCCGCTAGAGGCTTTGGGGAAAGGCTTAACCCATTGAAAAACATAGCAGTTTCTCTAGCTGGACCAGGCACCCAGACCACTTCATTAAGCTGAAGTGGTCTGGGTGCCTAGAGTGGTCCTTTAAGAACGGTCTAAATTACTGTTTTTATATCAGTATAGAATTTGAATTACCGCAATAACGGAATAAGAGGCATGGTATAACCTTGAATACAATGCAGCCTTAACTGAGCTGGAGCTATTATCTGCTATCTATCTCATTTTGAAGTAAAGAGCAGATAATGTGAGCAGCCAGACCAGCAGGGTCTGTGATCTGCTTGTTTGAAGATATTTCTCCACTTACATTGGCTGCAAAGCGAGCATTTAAGCCTTCAAACACTATACTGATGGAGAGGAGTATACAGATGGATTTCTCATTTGGCATTTCAGTAAGAACTGTGAGGGACAACAGATGATATGCTCGGAAGTAGATATGACAACTGTATTACAGACCAGGAACTTACCACAAGAATATAGGATTCCGTGGCCGGTGTTTCTGCCAATTGAGAAATCCATATGTGTACAATACTCCTCTCCTTTAGACTACAGACCTTTTTAAAAATTAATTTGACCCGCTGGTCTGGCTGCTCATGTAATCTACTCCATTTTGTTTTCACACCTCAGCCTTAAAGCAAAATGTACTTGTGACGAACCGCCTGTACCCAGAGTGGTACGTTCGTCTGAAACTCTCCCGAATTCCTGCAAGGTTCATGTGAATAAAGCACTCTTTCTATCGCATTCCCAAACTTCAGTCAAGATTAAATGAAGGATACAAAAGGAATGGTTTATTATGGTCAAGTTGCCTGTTTATATACACAGACCCACATCATGGGGTCTCCAGCAAAAGCATAGGTGTCTCTGTGTCTGAATCATGTACATCACATTCACAGATGTGCACGAATATGATCTCTTAATGTTGTATGATTTGTTATTGTCTGGCTGTGTTATTGACACACATTTGTTGACACAGTTTGCAGAATGATTTGTTGCTTCGTACAGTTCTATTCTGTGTGAGCTTCGTACAGTGCCATTCTGTGTGAGCTTCGTACAGTGCCATTCTGTGTGAGCGTCGTACAGTGCCATTCTGTGTGAGCTCCTGTTCTGTGGTCAATTTGCTGAGGACCAATCTCTGTCTCCGGTTAGGCGGTTGTTTGAATGCTAGTATGGAGGGTTTGGGAAATATGTTTTTTGAGTGTGGGGTCCTTTTGAAATTAATGGTTGTAGCTCTTTAATAATTTTACGTACTCCTTCTATAGTTGGGTTGTAAGTAACTACTAAAGGGATTCGTGTTTTGTTTTCTTTTTCTTCGTATTGTAGGAGCCTTTCCTGTGGTGTTTTTACGGCAGATTTTTTTTTTTTTTAGATATTGTCCTTTCCTTGCAGCCCTTTTGCTTAAATGACTCTGACAGTGTACTCTGGTGCTGATCTCTGTCTTTTTTGTGTCAGAGCCATGCAGTGATATCTGATTGCCTGGCTGTAGATAATACTTTGATTGGTGTAATGGGGATGGAAGCTGGAATTGTGGAGGTAGCTGTACCTGTCTGTGGGTTTTCTATATACAGATAAATGAAGAATGCCATTGGTGACAGTTAATGTGCAGTCCAAGAAACGCACACTATGATTTGAAAAGTTCATTTTAGGGTTTATTGATGGGCGGAATGAATTGAATGATTTATGGAAAACTGGACAAGGACCCCACCAAGTCATATACAGCTAAACTCACAAAACTTATCAAATCATCTCCGAAACACACAGCAAGAATTAGAAAATCTGATGCCTTCCAATCCTCAGATAGGAACTTTCTACGTGCTGCCCAAAATCCACAAGCCAGGAAACCCAGGACGGCCCATTATAACAGGTATGGGAACACTCCCGGAACAAATACCTGGCCTAATAGAAAAAAAATGTAAGCCTCTAGTTATTAAGACTGAGAGCTTTATACAGGACACTATGGACTTCCTCAATAAACTTAAGGTAAATGAACTACCTGAAAACACTATACTAGTAACAATGGATGTGAAATCCTTAAACAATAACATCTCACATAAGCATGGTAATGAGGCCTGCATTAAATTTCTATCATCCCAGAAACCAACACACAAATATGATGCAGTTATTGCCCAGTTTAAAGAATTCATACTTACACACAACTATTTCAGTTTTAATAACAATAGCTACCTACAAATGACAGGCACTGCCATGGGCACAAAAATGTCAAACCAGAGGGGCGGAGCCTGGACTGCAAGCAGGCAAGAAGTGCATCACACGAGCTCCTGCTGCAAACGCTGATTACCCGGTGATATCTCGGGCTGGCAACTCGGAGACCTCTGCTCAAGGTGACTTCCATACTGGGAGCACCTTGCTCTACTTATGGGTGCAGGCATCGTGAACCGCGACGGCAGGTTGAAGCCTACTGGCCGATTGTTCCACCCACGCTGTTACCATTGTAAATAAATTGTAAGTACATTTCATCTTACTACTACTTATTTGCAAATATGGAGAGCACTATGGGCCTTATGTTTCTTTAATTGCATGTAAACTACACTACAACTACTGTTTGAGGGATATCCTACAAGTGGGGAGTTGAAATACCACTGTAAGCTGTTTTACCGAGAGCTGGTGTCTTCGATCAAATCAAGTGTTTGATAATTTTGTATATCTGCCCCTGTCCAAATTGAATTAAATGTGTGCATGCTCCCAAAAGTAATTCACACCAGACACAAGTTTCAGGTTAATGAAAAACTTGAGGAATG